TCAGATTTTCGGCCTTTTAAAATTTTGTCACATATAGGGAATCATATACATCTCCCAAAAAATAAGGCATTTTATATTAGCACCCCACCAAATGTTGAATGTACCCCACATTAAAAATTAATATTAATAACTTATTTACCCTACTATGCAATTACAATTTTGACCTTATTAGGTTTAAAAAAAATAAAAAATTTCTAAATACACCCCAAATCACTTTTAATGTATTATTTATCTATTTCAACTATCAAAACCTCTCTCACCCTCCATTGTTGAATAAAACCCTAAGCAATGAAACTACAAACATGTTGATTGAGAAAATTATTTTTGACCGGAACATGAAATTAGTGTTTCGAAAGCTTTACATGAGGTAAGACTTCATATTTTTCTTTGTTTTAGTGATTTCAACGACATCGATAATTATTTAATCTCACTAAATCTGATAATTCAAGAATTAGCACTTATGAATCTCATAATTCAAAAACCATGGCATGTGAACTGATTGCAGATTGAGTCAATGACATTCATAAGGTGCTTTCTTGTAGGTCGACTTGGTTCGACCAAAATATGCACAATAAAATGGAAACAACATGGTAGCTTCGAAATCATTATTATTGTTATTGAAAAACGTTCAAATGAACCTAAATATTTTTTTCAAATCATTCAATTTGAAATAATTCGACAAACTAACGTTCAGATGGTTTGAAATGATTCGGCAAAATTAAAAATGAGTGTTACAAGATTTAAGAAAGGTGGGGGTGTATGTAGAAAATGTAAGTTGTATATTAAGAATGTGGGGTGTGAGGTATTATGGGAAAGGAAGTGTGGTGTATTAAGATAATTTTTAATTGAAAAAGTAAATGTGGGAACTTTTAATTGAAAAAGTAAATGTGGGGTGCATTAAGTATGTGTGGTTTATTCAACAACTTGTGGGGTGCTAATATAATTAGCCAAAAATAATTTATATTATCTTTTTACATAATTTATACGGTAATAAGGTTTGAACTTAAATGCAAAAAATAGTAAGTACAATGTTTAAAATAACTGACTTAACTCGAATCTACAAAATTACATATCTATAATTTCAAAAGAAAATTATCGATCGACAACTTTTAAATTTTGTATTATTTTCTTTGTAAACCATTGTACGATGCATGAACCGTTGTATAACACCATGCATATGATAGTCTAATAATACTGTGAAAAAATAATGACGTGCATGCAAAAAGATGGACGGACAGCAAATATTCCCGAGGCAAGTACGATATATATAGAGAACAAAATCTAATTTCAAGAAGTTCCTTCCGCATGGTGTTGATTCTTTTCCATTTATGTGTTCTCTTTGGTCCTTTTCTTTTTTTCCTTTTTGGGACAACTTGCACTTATAGACAAGATGGAGAAGATATTTAAAAAGATTTTGTAGCAGCCAGAGTCAAAATGATTGATCGTGATCTGTGACAAGAAAGGTACAAATTTACGTGTTGTGGATGCAAAAACTACAAATAGTCAACCAAAGTTCGATTTCCCCAAATTCCATAAACTGAAAGATTTATGGAAGAAATTCAAAATTAAAATTAAAAAAAATGAGGTGAATAATTCCATTGCATGAAATTTCAGAGAACTCAGTTTCAGTAATTATTCACTAATTTTTTTTTTTCCGTTAAATTCTAGTAGAGGTTTTCAATTAAGAAAAAGATGAGGGAATATAAGTTGAGCATAAAGACTAAAGAGTCAGAAAGCAAGTGATGAGAAGATATTCAGGTTTAAATTATATATCCATCAAAGGTTAGATATTTCTGGTATAAAACCTTCCTAGTAACCGACTTAACGTTGATCAATTTTTAAATCAAGGTTCATCTCGCTCGAAAATTCTAGAATAGATACCAACCCTAACCATAGATTTAGGTGCATGAACTGCGTAATGTACTATGACAGTGAATATTATATCAAGATTTTGAAGAAAAAGAATTTTGCATGTGCTTATAAGACAGTAAAAAATCTAACGGATAAGAATTCTTATACATATTCTATCATCTGATCTATATTAGAAGGAAAAAAACTCTCATTTTATTTTATTTATATAGTAATTTTTAGATTTTTGGCTTTAAAATTTTGTCACATAGGACTCATATACTTTTGCAAAAAATAATTTTATGTTGTCAATTTAAATAATCTACAATAACAAGCTTATAGAAAATAGTTTGTAATGTTGAGAATGAGTCCCATCTTGATGGGAGGAGGGCATGAGATTATAAAAGGTTGGGCTACTTCCCATATTGCCAATTAGTTTTATGGTGGAACCTCAACTTTTTTCATAGTATTAGAGTAGGTTGTCTCACGTGTTAGACTTGAAAATTCGTCAGATGTGAGGGGGCATGGGGAGTAGCATAACCTCTTATAAGCACATGCAATGTCCCTCCTCCCATCAATGTGAGACTCATTTTCAACACGTGGACAACACAACAGGGTGATGTAGAGTGTGTGTGGCTGTTTGACTTCACACACGAGACAACCTGGCTCTTATACCATGAAGAAAGTTAAGGTTCCACCATAAAACCAATTAACAATATGGGGAATAACCTAACCTCTTATAAGCACATATAAGGTCTCTCATTCTATTAATGTGAGATTCATTCTCTACACGTACAATGTCTAAAATAACTGACTTAACTCTAGTAAAGTGTCTATAATTTCAAAAGAAAATTATTGATTGACAACTTTCAAATTTTCTATTATTTTCTTTGTAAACCATTGTACGATGAAGAGATTCCCTCCGGATCTCTTCCACCAAATCCTAGGGATTCGGAGATCCAGGTTCTTGAAATTTGATAAAACAGTTATAAACAGGAGATCATTCTGAAAATTATAATAATTGTAGTCGTTAGATTAAATTTCAAAGATCCGGATCTCTGGATCCCTAGGACTTGGTGGGAGAGATCCGGAGGAGATCTCATCCCGTATATCACCATGCACGAGCTTTATATAAAAGTCTAATAGTACTGTGGAGACACGCATGCAAAAATATGGACGGACGGCAAATATTCCAGCTGAGGCAAGTACGATACGAAATATATAAAGAACAAAATCTAATTTCAAGAAGTTCCTTCCACATGGTGTTGATTCTTTTCCACTTACGTGTTATCTTTGGTCCTTTTCTTTTTTCCTTTTTTGGGACAACTTGAACAGAAAAGATACAAATATACGTACGTGTTGTAGCTGCAAAAACTACAAATAGTCAACCAAAGTTCGATTTCCAAATACCATAAACTGAAAGATTTATGGAAGAAATTCAAAATTGAAATTAAGAAAAATGTGATGATTAATTGCATTGCATGAAGATACAGATAACTCAGTTCCAATAATTACTCAATAAATTTGGAATTATTTTTCCGTTAAACTCCAGTAGAGGTTTCAAGTTAATAAAAAGATGAGGGAATATAAGTTGAGCATAAAGACTAAAGAGTCAGAAAGCAAGTGATGAGAAGATGATAAGATATTTGAAGAATAAAATTGACTGGCCATTTGCATGTGGGTTGAATTTTAAGAATATTCATATTTAGAAGAAAAAAAAAAGAAAAACTAATGAAAAATGTTGAAAACTTTGAGTTTTAACAATAATGATAAAATAAAAGGTAAAGTAAATAGTATCATGATTGATTTTTTAGTATAAAAATATATTTTTTCGTTAAAGTGAATAGTACCGAAATCTTTTTGTTAAACTTCCAAAAAAAAAAAAAATGAAGCAAGGCAACTTTCCATTACCAAACAACCAGAGATTTCCAGAAAAAGGGTTAGTTTTAGTGCGTGTTTTAATCCTTTTTTCAAGAGTTCTAATGCATGTTTTGTGTTTCGGGTACACTAAAAAAATTCATATTTAGATGAATTGTCCGACTCAATCGTCACTTGTCATCCCACTCTTGAAAACCACTTTCAGGTATCAACATGCCTGATTATTAGTTGATCTTTTATTTCAGTTTTTAGATAATGTTCCATGAAAAAGAAAACGTGGTGAGGGAAGTGATGATAACTTAACGCTTTAATAAAATCAACAAAAAAGAAAATGCTAACAGAATAATTGGAGAGCATAAAGTAGAAGGCAATCTCTCGTTGTCTTAAAATATCGTTACTGTGGATGCAAATTTCCGCCTTCTTCTTCTTGGACAAAATTGCACCTACAAAACAATCAACACCTTTGGTCAAGGCCAAGAACCTCACGCGCTCATGATGAATTGGGGAGCTTTGGCTGAAGAACCTCTTATGCCAAAGTTAGAATTTAGAGAGAAAAAGTGTTTAGAGGATTTTTGGGAGTTTTGCAAGAGTATCAACCTAGCTTTTTAGAAGAAATAGGGTCATATATATAGGGAATGAAGTGTTATTTGGTGATTCAATTAGCGATTAATATATTAATTAGGTATAAATATATTAATTGGCTAATTATCATAATAAAAGAAATGTTTTGGGAGGTTTTTGGAGGTTATGGAATGAGGATGGATGAGACATATTTGAACTTGTTACCTATTTTGGGTACTCCTGATTTGGTTGATAGATGATTTTCCACTACTCGCGTGTAGGAGACCCGGTACCTCGAGGGTAAATTTATCATCTTCACCAAAAAATCCACGTGTCGCTTTGTGATTATTTTTGGCTCCACAGTTACCTTGGTGAGAAGTTTCATTCGTTGACTTCAGTCTCTATCTTTCACTTCAATCGTCAATGTGAGTTGGACAAGTTGATCACGATAGTATGTTCGTCCCTACAAACAACTTTAAATCTCCCTATATGTAAATCAAACAGAATAACAAATTTTTAATTTTGAGAGCTGACTAATTCTAGCTCAGATTGGATAAGAATAATCTGCATGACAGCTAGCATATGCTGAGTTCAAATCCCACTTTTCTAATAAAAAGAAGGGAAACTTTAATTCTTTCACATGAACAATGCTTTCTCATTTTCTATATAAGGACCTTGTACGTGCCGAAGTAAACCACATTCACATCCCTTGATCCACAAACATCGTATGAAATTTAGAAGAAATATGGCAGCCATATCTCTTGATCCAAGGCTTAACCTCCAAGCAACTAAAAACCCTAACCAACATGGAGTTATACTTGAAGAAATCGAAGGCCTCATCCGAGTTCACAAAGACGGATACGTCGAAAGGCCTCTGATGATCCCAAGTGTCCCCAGCACTCTAGCTCTACCACCTGGTGTCGAGGCCAAAGATATTGTTATTGACAAATTTACCAACTTATGGGCACGCATTTATGTTCCAAGCCACCCGGGAAACCTCCCCGTGATTGTCTACTTCCACGGCGGTGGATTCTGTGTTGGATCTGCTGCTTGGAGCTGTTACCATGAGTTCCTGGCCAAACTTGCTTCACAAGCAAGTTGTGTCATCATCTCTGTGAATTACCGTTTAGCCCCTGAAAGCCGTCTCCCTGCTGCTTATGATGACGGATTCAAAACCCTTATGTGGGTAAAACAAAAAGCTCTGAGTGAGTCTAGTGAGCAAAAATGGTGGTTAAGTAAGTGCAACTTGTCCAGCTTGTTCATAGGCGGTGACAGTGCAGGGGCTAACATAGCCTACAATGTCACCACACAGGTAGGTTCACGTGACCCCTCCATTTTAAGGCCATTAAGTCTCAAAGGCACCGTCTTGATCCAACCCTTTTTTGGAGGAGAGGCTCGAACTTGGTCCGAAAAATGTGCAACTCAGCCACCATACTCCGCCCTAAGTCTGTCAAGTTCAGACACATATTGGCGGCTGTCTCTTCCGTTAGGGGCCAGCAGAGATCATCCGTGGTGCAACCCTCTAGTGAACGCCGGTGTGGCCAAATTACGCGATTTAAGGCTCCCGAGCATGATGGTATGCGTATCAGAATTGGATATATTGAAGGATGGGAATTTTGAGTTGTGCAACGCATTGAGTAGCATTGGGACGAGGGTGGAAACTGTACTGTACAAAGGAGTTGGACATGCATTCCAAGTTCTGCATAACTCTCAGCTATCTTATTCACGGACACAAGAATTGATATCTCGCATCAAGGCCTTCATGATCAAGCAATAATAGCTATTTCATGGATTTCTTTTTCTAGTTCGATATTTTATTAGGGTATTATTTGTATATTATGCTGAAAGTAACTTATCATTGAAGCTTGTTAATTAATGTATTATATAATTTTCTTCTCATATACAAAACATATGTATTATCTTCTATATATGCTTAATTATAATAAACATTGGTCTTTTGACTCTTTTACTTTTATATTACATACTCTTGACTTCGGATGCAAGAAAATAATATTTATGTCATATATATCCATTAAATTGTTATTTCTTAAACAAAAGTGAGACTAAAAGTAATTAGTGGAAAGGTATAGTGCCAAAATGTTTTGGTGGATCCAATGGTTTTGTTAATGATGGGTTTTGGCGGATCACACATGTATTATTTGCAAATTTATTAACGGTCCCTAAAATATTGTTTAATCCAAAATAGGCCCAAATTATTAAACCCAACAAAATAACCGACCATAAAATTCAATTATTTGGAGACAAAAGTAATCAATGTGTGCCCTAAATCTCTGTGTTCCCCCTGCATCATCTTTTCAGTATCAATATATCAGGTAATCAATCTCTACGAATGGAATAAGATCTAAATTTAGAAAATAATATTCGAAGTCGTTTTACATCTGATTCAACTGGGGTTTAGGGTTTTGTGTTTTTAGTGTTTCCTTGTCTGAATTGTCTCCTTTTGTTTTTGAGTTGGTCCGAGTTGTATTTAAGTCAGAAAAAGGAGTGATTTGTTGTGTGTTTCGTAAATTGCAGAGGATTATAGGTTATAGTAAGAGGAACTGCAATGGTAAAGGGGGCCAAACATAAACCTAGGAAGGTTGAGAATCCTATTGGATTTGTGATTATTCTAAGGACGAAAGGTACGATGCAGAGAAGCGTCATCGAGGAGACAGGGAGAGTGATAGCCATAGGTTGAAGAAGGAGAAGAAGCTCGTCAAGGAAGGTGATGGCTGGGACCCCCCAAGAATGGCGACGAGGTTGAAGGTAATTCGTGCTTTTATTATCCGTATTCTGTTGTTTGAAATTTTGATTTATGGAATTGTTTTTGTTGTTTTTGGACTGGGGAGATTGATTAGCATGGCTATGGCTAGTTGCAGATGGGTTTGCGGATAAGGACATCAACCAAATTACAGGCGTTGGCAGACAACACCTTTGGATATCATGGAGAATATCGTACAGCGCCTCAACTTGCGTGATCGGATTCGCTTAAGCATCATCTGAAAGTATTGGAGTTCGATTGCTATGCGAAGAGACATCCATAGTGCTCCGAATTGCCCTGGTTAGTACTCAATCAACGAAGTCCCGAATACTTAAGAGTTCTCCATCCCATTTGAGCATAAAGTTATCAAGTTAGGGTTGCATAAGCGAAATGAAGGGCGGTTTCTTGGTTCCTCTAAAGGTTGGTTGATTATGGCCGAGGAAAATAACTATGAAGTATTTCTACGTACTAAACCCTATTTCAAGAGCCAAACACAAACTTCCTTCCTTGAGAGAAATTTCATCTTTCCACAACCTTTTCAAAGACCGGGAAGGTCGAAATGTATCGTTTGATTCTTATCCAAAAGCCACAAGTATCGTATTGATTCTTATCCAAAAGGCAACTGCTTTCTTCGTGAAATTGTCTTATCCAGTTCAAATATCTCAGAATGTACAGTAGCAGCAATTTTTTCTTCTATGGAGATTGGTTTGTGCAGGCCAGGAGAAAAAAAGTTGGAGAATCTATCAGATGTTGGATTGTAAAAAGGAATCTCCTTCACCCTATTCTTTTCGTCTTGTGGCATTCTATACGCCTAAAAATGATGAGATTAAGATTGGACGCGTTATAACTCGCACATCACACTTCGGAGATGATGACGATAAGTTGGATTGAAGTGGATTTATAACAAAGAAGAACCACGGGACTACCGGTCATCATACTATGAATTTCGTTCACGTCGTAGTCCCTTGTTCGAGTTCGAGGATAAGTCATATTTGATAGAATCAACAACCCACAATGAAGTCTAGTTGATCCATCATATGAAGGATCCATTCGTGTACAATATGTGTTTGAACTTGTGATTTTTTAATTTACAAGATTGAGTCGGAGAATGGCGGCAACTTTCTCGTGGTACAGAGTTTTGGAAACCAAATATTGTTTGTAACAAGCCGAGGTTGTTCCTTGTCATTTCCAGTGAGAGGGTTGGGAGCGATAGCATTCGTTTCGTAGAGTTAGAAGGAATTGAAAACATGTTTGACCTTTCCCATCTTTTTGGATACAGTACCCAAGCCGCGTCTTCTACTTATTAGATGGTTGGAAATTTGGAAGATAAATTGAAATTCATGATGCTTCAAAGTCACCTAAGATTGTCGGAAATTTGAGATGGTTCAGTCCAAGTTTATAATAATTAGAGATGACATGATACAATATTTCTTTAATAATTCAGACTACTGAGTAGTATAAGAAATGAACGATCACGATTGAATTAAAAAAATACTATTTTCTATCGTCAATCTAATAAATAAAAAGCACCACAACCTAGCAGTCCGAACTAAAAACAAACCCGAGATGGTGAAGTTGAACGGTTTGCTTGATAATTAATTTTTGTTCTTTTTGTTTCAGTGCATGCAGTAATAGTATTTACACCTTGCCAGTGTTAAACTCTTCAATTCATTGAATTAGTTTATACAACTACTATTTCTTGTAATTCTTTTTACTTTGCAAGAGCATTGTGAAATCTCAGATGCAAATTTTTTCAATTTTCAATTGGCAAACATGTACTCTCTCTATATCTCTTTGTTGACTGCAATTTCAAGAGTAAATTGTATCTATGATCCCTTAACTTTAACTCAATTGGAGTAATGGTCCCTCAACTAAAAATTCATTTCCATTGGTCTCTTAACTTTAATTCAATTGGAGAAATGGTCTCTTAACTTTAACTCAATTGTAGCAATGGTCCTTCCAATATAACTCGTTTTGACAATTTTTTTTACGTAATTGACGAAAATGACCATTATTGCACACTTTGATAAGTTAAGGGACCCTAATTATATAAATGGTTATTCCAACATAACTTATTTTGATAAAATTTTAACGAAATTGATGAAAATGACTATAGCTACACATTTTGATAAGTTGATGGACCATTGCTCTAATTTGATTAAAGTTAAGAGATCATTGCTACAATTTACTCCAATTTCATTATCTTTTCACTGTTTGGTATTAATTATTAATTTGAGGAAGACTTGAATTAGACCAGTTAGCCTGGTCAATGCGCCGCTCTTTGCATCCTATTGGAATCTACTTCTCTTTAAATTAAAAAAGTTTAGAAGATAGATAAGAACATTACATTATAAAACAAAATACATTGTCAGATCTCACACTTCGCGCATAAAAAGTAGGGGAAAAACTTCATTTCTTTCACAACGAGCAAGCCAGCCCTTCAATTTTCTTGTACAAGCTAAGTATATTATCCATCTTTGTTTAATTATGATAAACATTGGTCTTTCCTTCTATATTCTGGAGTTTTAGAATCTAATGTTTCATAACAGTTTATCAAGCATCGTTTGGTGCTATACAACGTTAAATGTTAAATGCTACAAGCATTGGATAGTCTAGATAATAAAAGCAAACTCCAAACTAATCCGATCGATCAAATTCTTGTAGCATTTAATAGATTGCAAGAAGGAAAAATTTTCCGCAAGGAACACAAAAAACTAGTTTTTCGCTTATCATCTGATTAAAGTGCAATAATTTATTCAAATAAACTGTTTTCCTACATTTGTGATATGTCTTCTTTAATTTACCATATAAAACTTTTTTTTTTTTTAATTTATTGATCTGCATTCCTAATGTTAAAAGAAGTTTGCTTATTAACTAGTAATACGGTATATTGATATTCATGTTCATTTATAAGTGAGAGGTCTCAAAATTCAGCTCACATGAATAGCGAGGACGTACTATATTTGTGTTGAGTTCGATGCCTAATAAGTGGTTGATTACTCATTGTGTGGCCTAACCCGATCCCTTTAAATGTAGAATCATTGTACAAAAAAAGGAAGTCCAAGTTCAAATTCTCCTTTCTACGATGGTAAAAAAACCAACTTTACATAGGAAACTAATGAGTAATTTGGTAACCATTTCGTTTTCAATTTTAGTTTTTTAAAAACTAAAAATTGAAATTTTGTTTGGTAACTACTAACATGAAAACTGAAAACCAAAAAGTGAAAACTTAATGCTAAATTTTGAAAACTTAAGAAAGTAGTTTTTCAGTTTTTATTTATTTTTTAATTTAAAAACTAAAAGTAATTACCAAACAAATTATCCATTTTCAGTTTTTTAAAAAAGTTAAACAAAAAACTGAGAATTGAAAACGAGGCTCATAAGAGTTGATAAAAATAAAACTAAAAAAAGAGGAACTTTGAGGAAATAGGACGGCGAGTCCATTAATATGTTTTAATCCAAAACCGGCCCAATTAAGAAACCCAACAAAATAACCGACCGACCGACCGACCATATAGCCCAGTCTTGATCAAATTCGATTGATTGGAGGCAAAGAAATCAATCTGCCCTAACTCTGCGTTTTCCCCCTTTGGCGAGCTTTTCTGTATCAACCAGGTAATCGATCCTTTCTGCATCGAGTTTTCTTAAATTTTGAAAAATATTATACGAATCTATTTTCTCGATTTCGGTTTGCATTTAGGGTCTGCTTTTAGTGTCTTCCTTGTTTGAATTGGATCCCGATCTGAATTGGTTTCCCGGTCTGAATTGGTTTCCTGTCGATTATGTTCGTCTGAATTGTACGAAGTCGGAAAATTGAGTTATTTTTGGTGGGTTTTGTTGACTCAATTGCAGAAAAGTGTTGTTGTTATACAAGGAACTGGAAGCAATGGTAGAGGGGGTCAAACATAAACCTAGGAAGGAGCGAGAATCGAAAAGGATTAGCGGTCATCGAGATGGCGAAAAGGAGGAGAATGGAGAGAGGAGACATCGGGGAAAAGATAGAGATTTTAAGAGAGATGGTGATTCTAGTCGTTCCGCGAGAGACAAGTTAGATAGAGATGAGAGAGATTGTGATTCTAGTCGTTCCACGAGAGACAAGTTTTGTGATTCTGAGGACGAGAGGTATGAGGTAGAGAAGCGGCATCGAGGAGATAGGGAGAGCGGTAGTCATAGGAGGGCTAGAGATAAAGAGATGGGGAGGGAGAAAGACAAAGAGAGGGGGAAAAGAGAGAGGGTTAGAGAGAAGGAAAGGGACAGAGATCGAAAGAGAAGGGTGCGGAGTGATGATGTAGATGAAGAGGAGGAGGAGGATGTTAGGGAGAGTGATAGGAAGCGGCGTAGGAAAGATGACAAGGAGAATGCGGAGAGAGTGAGGGAAAGGAGTAACAGCAGGTCAGATAGACATAGGGATGGTCGAGTTGAGAGCCCGGTAAAGAAGAGTGATGAAGATGATTCAGTTAGGAAAGGGACGAATCCGATCTCTGAGGTGGTGGAGGAGGATTTAGAGGATGAGCAGAGGAAATTAGATGAGGAAATGGAAAAGCGGAGGAGGAGAGTTCAGGAGTGGCAGGAGTTAAGAAGAAAGGAGAAACAAGCTGAGGGAGAGAAGCATGTGGAAGGGGATGTTGATGAACACAAGTCTAAAAAGACCTGGACACTTGAGGGAGAATCTGACGATGAAGAAGAGACAGGTATGGACCTTGACGGAGAAGCCTATCTCACTGATAAAGAGGATGGAGCCGTCATGGAGGTTGATTCTGAGAATCAAACAGCTGCACCTGCTTTGCAGGATGATGAAATTGATCCATTAGATGCTTTTATGAATTCTACGGTGCTGCCTGAAGTTGAGAAGCTGGCCAATGCTGCAGAACAACCAGTAGTTGCTGGTGAAAAAGGTTCAAACAATTCTTTGGGCAGAATAATTCCTGGGGAGTATTCTGATTCAGATTATGGGGACATTGAGAATGATGATGATCCCTTAGAAGACGAAGACGATGATGAGTTCACAAAAAGGGTGACAAAGACAAAAGTCGATAAACTTTCTCTAGTGGATCACTCAAAGATAGATTATGAACCATTCAGGAAAAATTTCTACATTGAGGTGAAGGAGGTCTCAAAAATGACCCCAGAAGATGTGGGTGCATACCGAAAACAATTGGAATTGAAGATACATGGTAAGGATGTCCCAAAGCCCATTAAGACCTGGCACCAAACTGGACTTACAAACAAAATCTTGGAAATGATAAAGAAGCTTGACTATGAAAAGCCAATGCCAATTCAGGCTCAGGCAGTGCCTATAATTATGAGTGGACGAGACTGCATTGGCATTGCAAAAACTGGCTCAGGCAAAACCCTTGCATATGTGCTGCCAATGCTGAGGCATATCAAGGACCAGCCACCTGTGGTAGCTGGAGATGGGCCTATTGGCCTTATAATGGCACCAACGAGGGAGCTTGTTCAGCAGATTCACAGTGTTATAAACAAGTTTGCCAAGACACTGGGTCTCAGGTGTGTGCCTGTATATGGAGGTTCTGGTATTGCCCAACAGATTGGGGAGTTGAAGCGGGGTGCTGCAATTGTCGTCTGTACCCCCGGTAGGATGATTGACATACTTTGTACAAATGGAGGGAGGATAACAAATCTGCAGAGAGTAACTTACTTGGTTGTGGATGAAGCTGATCGAATGTTTGACTTGGGTTTTGAACCTCAAATCAATCGAATTGTTCAGAATATTCGGCCAGATCATCAGACTCTATTGTTTTCTGCCACGTTCCCTCACCAGGTTGAAGTCTTAGCACGTAAAGTCTTAAACAAACCTGTGCATATACAGGTTGGTGGTAAGAGTGTTGTAAACAAGGACATTACACAATTTGTTGAAGTGAGGTCCGAAAATGAAAGGTTTGTTAGATTATTAGAGATACTTGGGGAATGGTACGAGAGAGGAAAAATTCTGGTGTTTGCCAAAGCACATGCAACGTGTGACACTGTGCTTAGGGATCTGCTTAGGCATGGATATCCTTGTCTCTCGCTTCATGGGAACAAAGATCAAACAGATCGTGAATCCACCATATCTGATTTTAAGAGCGATGTGTGTAATTTGTTGATTGCAACTAGTCTTGCTTCTAGAGGGTTAGATGTCAAAGGGGTTGAGCTGGTGATCAACTTTGATACTCCAGATCACTACGAGGACTATGTTCACCGTGTTGGTCGTACAGGCCGAGCTGGCAAGAAAGGTTGTGCTATAACGTTCATCTCTGAGGAAGATGCTAAGTATGCCCCAGATCTTGTCAAAGCATTGGAACTCTCTGAGCAAGCTGTTCCAGATGACCTTAAATCTCTTGCTGATGGTTTCATGGCAAAAATAAAGCAGGGACTTGAGCAGGCCCACGGGACTGGTTACGGGGGCAGTGGTTATAAATTTAATGAAGAGGAAGATGAAGCAAGGAAAGCAGCAAAGAAAGCACAGGCCAAAGAATATGGTTTTGAAGATGACAAGTCAGATTCAGAAGATGAAGATGATGGTGTCAGAAAGGCTGGGGGTGACATTTCACAGCAGGCTGCCCTTGCTCAAATATCAGCTATTGCTGCTGCCTCTATTGGTGGTACGGCTTCAGTTCAGACCCCTGTCTCTACTGCTCAACTGCTTCCTAATGGTGGATTACCTGTTTCTCTTCCCAGTGTCCTTGGTGGTGCAACGTTGCCGGGAACAGCAGCCGTTTTGCCTGGGATGGGTCTGAATCTTGTTGGACATGAAGGGGCAGCTCGAGCAGCAGCAATTGCAGCTGCCATGAATTTGCAGCATAACCTAGCAAAGATTCAAGCTGATGCAATGCCTGAGCACTATGAAGCAGAGTTGGAAATAAATGATATTCCCCAGAATGCTCGATGGAAGGTTACCCACAAGGAAACTTTGGGCCCTATATCAGAGTTGACTGGAGCTGCCATTACTATTAGGGGTCAATATTTCCCACCAGGCAAGGTTCCAGGGCCAGGAGATCGCAAGCTTTACCTGTTTATTGAGGGTCCTACTGAACAATCTGTCAAGAGAGGTAAATCAGAACTAAAACGCAAGTTGGAAGAAATCATGAATCAGTCATTATCACTTCCCAGCGGCGCTCAGCAACGCAGATATCAAGTTATATAAGTGAGAACTTGATTCCAACTTACTTTATGCATAATTTTATCTGCTTATGCTGAACTCAACCTGACTCTCAGTTCTTTGTTTATTGTTTTGCAATCACCTAATGAGTTTCTATATTGAAATTTCCAAATGTCCTATCTATCCTGCTAATCTTTCATATCCAACTTGTATGAGAACCTGCCCTGTTAATCTCTAAATGAAATCTCAGTAATCTAATTACGGTTAACGATTGTTATTTAGAAGTCGTTTTATTTTTACTTGGAATAGTCTGATACATGTTGGATTTTACTGTGTACATAGTTATGATTTGTTGTCTTGCTTTGCACAATTTTCAGTCCCGCTTTTGATCTTTTTTCTTTTCTTTTGTTTGTCATTTCCCCTGGTGCGAGGGACATTATGTGCTTATGCTCGCATGTTCAATATTGTCTCTGCCCTTATGAAGCTGTCCAAAAGATGCGAACGTGGTGCGATTCTTCAGTTTGAAGGGATGTATGTGCTTTAGAAGTCGATGTTGTTTTTATATGTTCCATGAGTTGTGGGAACTGTGAATTCATTCATTTGGGTTCTTTCCTTGGTGCTTATCCAGGTTTTGTTTGGGAGTTGCTGGAGCCGATCAGCTGCCCTATAAAATGGATTTGCTTTTGCGGTGCTATAACTGGTTACTGAGTTCTTTCAGAGATAACTAAACCTGTGCACTTTGCTGTAGTTTTGCCACTTTTGGACTGCACTTTTTGATTGTTATGGTCGTTTTATTTGTTGCAAATGCCTTTTATGATCTGAATTTCAAATCGCAGGCTATGCCTTTGCTTTCTAGTAAAGATTTTCAATTTTGGTTTGTGTTTACGTTCTCTTGATTTTCATTAGCAGGTTTAATTTGTCGTCTTTCTTGTGGAGGTGATCTTATAAGGAGCACGGTAGTTGACCAACACATTGATGATATACTGATGTCCTTTTTGTTCTTTTCAGCTTGAACTACCAAAGTACCAATGGATCATAAGCCAGTGGAAATGTCATGCCAAAGGTCAGAAAACCCCCTCGTTAAGTATGCTATCATTAGATTGTTACAAGAAAAAAACAATCGAGAGTAAAAATTATAATATAATTGGAAAGGAAAGGTCAAATATATATTGTATTGGATTCTCTTATTATAATTTTGATTCTTACTTTCATGGAGTTCTCATACATCAATGTTTTCGATGCAGTGGCCGCAGAAGATATCACTGGACTGAAACTTGAATTTCCATGGCAGCAATCTGTTTACCGGCATTCTGAGGAGTGTTCTTTTATACTATTTTTGGCATGTAAGATATCTTCACAATTTTTTGCAGAAACCCGAAAACTACTCAAAAGTGAAAAGTTCAATGTAAAATTCATAAATATGAATGTTTTAAGAAACAGTGTTCTTGTTCATACCGGTTGAGATTTCCAATTTCCGACTCTGTAGAGAAAAAAAACTTGTTTGATGCAATGCAGGCATCTCCTTTGAAACTTTTAGCGGCGACTTTTTAGTCGCTGTGACAGATGTCTTTAGTAGCGGCTGGCCACGAAATTTATCGTCGTTAAAAGCCTTTTTGCTGATTGAGCGGCATATTTTGGTCCCTAAAGGCTGAAAATCGTCACTACTCGCTGCAAAAGATACAAAATGATCATCTTAAACACGAATTTTCCTTCTGTTTTCGGCAGACGTTCACTTTCTTTGCCCTCTTATACTACAGCTAGCCAATTCAATAACAGCAAGAAAACACAATTTGTTTGTCCATTTTTCAATGCAATCTACAATCAACAAGTATGTGCTCTTTCACATTAAGAAATGAACTTTTAACATTTTTATATTTCTACAATCCTTGAACAATTGAGAAGCAAGTGACTAATTGTAAAATCTACAAGCCACAACGAAAGTGTAATTTGACGAGTTTCGGGGTTTTTCATTTTCGAAAACCATGAATACCGAGACTAAAATTCTTAGCTATAGCAACCAAACGTTGGTAGTTTTCTGGAAATCATGAACCATTCGAATGAGTTCGTAGCTATAGCGATTAAAGTTTACGAAAGTTATACTGTATCAACTCCTAATCCTAGTATTAGACATTGCCCCATCGATTCTTACAAATTTGATCTCTCTCTCTCTCTCTCGTTTTGTCGAATCTAATTTAGTTTTTTTTCCTGATTGTGTTTTGTTTTGGAATAGGTCTATGGAGGCGCCGAGGACCAAGAGAATGAGGGAGTGCAGCAGCAGCAAGAGCATAAAGCAGCTGGTGGAGCTCTCCTAGTCAGGTGCTGGTCTTTTGCTGCCATGCATGCATGTACAAAATGCTGCTACTAGCAATGATGGAGATCCTCAAGTTGTGGTTCTGACCCACTCTAAAGATTGCTTCAGATTAATCACCTTCCCAACGTTGAAACATGATATAAGCGTTGGCTCGTCCTCAGCAAGCGAAGTGATGATAATGAATTCGCCTTTGAAATTTTTATAGTGTGTTCTTCTTGCGGTTTCCTTGGTTTTTAAAAGTCAGCATCATTAGGAGGTTCAGCCCTTTTAGTCAATCCTCTTACAGGACACTCTCTACATATTCGGCCGCCATGTAAAGTATACGATGAAGCCCCACTGCGCCCAATTCATCTTTCGCTTCCCCCTCGAAAATAGGTGTTGGATGCTACAATTCTCCCTGCGCGAGTGTGAACTTTGTGTCCATTTCAAAACATTTCAGTTACTCGCAGGAATTTGCCCAAATAGGTTTAATCGTTGGTCGATTGCTTTTATTTTACATTTCCTTTCAAGTTATTACCTTGTTGTTCAATATTTGGTAACCAATTAACTTTATTTCCTTTCTGTCTTTCCTTTTCATACAACTTGTCACACATTAGTTCTTACATCTATATGAGAATTGAAGACTAAGTTGAACCAAGGTGGATCAGTTTGTGCTTATCACTTCACATACCCATAGAAAATATGAAGTCCTTGGCTTAACAAGGCACAAAAAAGAACCTAGCATAGATTTTACCTTTCCATGGCACAGTCTCTTGATTAGAAGGTCAGCTTACTCGTGGCACAAGTTTACAATCTAACAATAACATCATACTTGTGAGGTTTACTCCTCCCCTTTAGTGTAGATAATATCGTTTGCTAAAAATAAATAAATAAATAATAACATCATACAATCTTTTTTGTTGGTTTGAGCCCACAGTGGCATGCTTGAAACTAACAAATAACTCCCCTATCAAATGTATCCAAGAAGGTTGTACATATATCACATGTACTACCGACTTCACGTGGAATATAATTTTCTTTGAAATTTGTAAAAAGAGAAAAGATAGGAGGACTTGTCTTACAAGTAAACCAAGAAAAGAAAGACAACACATCAAATGTGAGATTATACCTTGGTCTTTTCTTTTGTGAGAATGAGATTCTTACTTGTCTTCTTAGTTGTCAAAGTTTCTCATTTGTTATCAATCAGGCACAATTAATGCATGGAAGTGTGTCTTCCTCAAAAGAAGAAATTCAAAGTTCAAACCGTATACATGATGGGAAAGCAAAGAAGGCTCCATTATCAAATGTATCCAAGAAGACTGTATATATGTAACACTTACCACCAATTTCACGTGAAATATAATTGATCTAAAACTTGTCTTACAAGTAGACTAAAAAAAAGAAAGACAACACATTAAAGGTGAGATTATACTTTGTTTTTTTTTTCTTTTGTGAGAATGAGATTCTTACTTGTCTTCATAGTTGTTTAAGTTTCTCATCGATTATCAATTATGCACTATTGATGAAAGTGTGTCTTCCTCAGAAGAAGAAAATTAAACCATATACATGAGGGGAAAGCAAAAAAGGACCACTATCAACGTATCCAAGAAGGTTGTACATATATAACATCTACCACCAATTTCACATGGAATATAATTTTCTCTAAAATTTGTAAAAAGAGAAAAGATAGTCTTACTTGTCTTACAAGTAAACCAAAACAACAACAAAAACAACAAAGGTGGGATTATACTATGGTCCTTTTCTTTGTGAAAATGCGATTCTTACTTGTCTTCGTGGTTGTTCAAGTTTCTCATCTCACGTTAGAATGAGATTCTTCCAAGTTTCTTTAAATTTCTCTCCAATTTTCTTATTTGATTTCGTTTTCTTTTCATCTTCCAAATCTTGTAATCATTTTGGAGGCTTATATTTTCAAAATCGTTGATATTTTGGATTGCAGGTTCTTCCTTGTAAGATCCGGACTTTGGTTTGTTTTCGTTCTTGGATCGTGTTGCTCCCCTTTGTTGAAAGTCAGCTAAAGGTGATCGAGTTAAGTTGGAAGTTAAAAATTCGAAATATAAACACACATACTATGATTTCTTCTCTTGTTCTTAGCTTAGTATTCATATCCTGAATATTTGAGTTTTTGTGAATCGGCGTCTGGCATCATATCTTATTGATGTGCATATACATGTTTCCGTGCTTCATTGTGTTGTAATTAGGGTTTGTTTTAGGTATCTCTCTTTAAATTAGGCAGACCCTTTAAGGAAAGGGATCTCTATTTTTCAAAAAAAATGGGGACACCCTCTTGTCTGTTAGATCTGGCTTTAATGAAATTCTGTGGTTAAGATTAAATCACAGGCCACAGAATCTCAACCACATAATTTCATTAAAGCCAAATCTAATGGTCAAGAGAGTGTCCCCATTTTTTTTGAAAAATGGGGATCCCTTCCCTTAAAGGCTTCCTTAAATTAGGAGTGTTTGTATTTGTTATTTTTATTTTTCAAAGGGAATTACTTTCCTGAATAAAATTGCTGATCTTTTAGTATAGGCATAGGGAACAAAATATTTGTGAGGTTAAGCCCACTCTATCTCTCTTAACGTAGATAATATCGTTTGTTAAATTTTTATTTTATTTTTTTAAAACTTTGATCACATAAGCAGACTTTCCATTTTAGAGGGGATGAGCCAGATAATAGTTTCAGTTACAATTTTCTATTGTTTTCTTACCTATTTTAACCTTCCACAACATTACAACTTTGATCACATAACCAGTAGGTGATGTTGGGCACTTTCTTCTTGAACCTATTTTTGCATTCTGCTTTTTGCCTGTGAAAATTCTGGCGGTGGTGTAGAGGTTGGGCAGTGGAAACTGAAAAGAGGAAAGACTTGCATGTAAAAGAAGGATGAAAGACCAAAGCTTCTTATTTAAAATGAATAAATATTACTTTGCTTCTTTTATCTTTCACATATGCTTTATTGACATTAATCTCATTGAATAAATGGACAGATTGAACATGGCATCCACTATTGTTCCTACACTTCTTAACCGCAAAAACTATGACGATTGGAGTTCTCGGATTGTGACCTACTTGTTGGCCGAAGATCTTTGGGACATTGTCGAAGGCACCTATGACTATAAAGACGAGGCTTTGTGGAAGAAGGATGTCAAAGCCTTATATGCAATCCAGAAGTCTTGCGGGGATGATATGTATAAAATTATAAAGAGCAAAACCACGGCCAAAGACGCATGGGATGCTTTGGTTAAAACATTGAAACCAGGATCTGATCGATCATCAGTTAAAAAAGGTACGTGCGTCCATACCTAATTAGGGAGTAGTGAAGTTTGACTATTTTACCTTTATAACCTCACATGCCCCTTCACGTGTGAACATTATTTCTTCAGTATTATTTTTACACAGGAATTTATACGAAGGGATAAGATAAGGAAAATTAGGAATTGAATGGCATCTATGATCTAAACATCAAGATCTTCATTTTCAGATATGAGGGCAATTGATGAAGCGTATCCTCAAACCGATACTAGGATAGCGTCGGATATGGAAGCAGGGCCCACTAGAGGTACAAATTTGGGAACTTTAACGAAACTTCCAGTACTATTCATTTTAATAAAAAAACCAAATTTTTACACTAAAAAGTTAATCATGGTACTATTCACTTTACCCTTTATTTTGTCGTTATCGTTAAAACTCAAAGTTTTCAAGCTATTTTAATTAGTTTTCCTTATAAATTTTAAGCCTAACATGTTCACCACTAATATCACCGATAGTATCATTAACTTAATTAAGCACATATTACTTGGTGTAGAATTTTATTACAAAATACTTCGGTGATATTAAAAGTAGAATATCTTTCGTATAATCACATAACCTTTTTCTCTACCCATATTTTTAATTATTTTGCTTTTGTCCATTGAATAGAAATGCAGGACTGCTACTAACAGCTTTATTAATAAGGTAGTTTTAACAAAACAGTCCCGGTACTATTTATTTTTAACGAAAAACCATATTTTTATTTTTAATTGATACTATTCACTATACCTTTAAAAATGGTTTTCGTTAAAAGATAAATTTTTTTAGACTCTTCATTAGTTTTCCTTATTAATAATAATCCATACTGTTTTAATTCATCTGTCATAGAATTTCCCATTTGCTTTCAAATTGTATTTTATTATTCTCATTCAAGTATGGAAAGTTAGGAATTGACAAACATGGCAGGACCTGATGATGACCGTGAAAATTTCGTCAAATGTGTCAAGTCTAAGGATTGGTTTGAGGCGTTCTGGTTACTTCGCGAACATTCCCAACTGGGAAGGGAAAAATTTTCATTTGAAGGTACAGCCCTTCACCAGGCAGTCCAGCCGTTTAGCAACTGCAGAATGCGCCGAATGGAAGGATTGGTGGAGTCAATGGAAAAGGAAGACTTGGAAATAAAAGACACTTTTGGTCGTACAGCTCTTTATTTATTAATAAGAGAGTATCCAGAAAGGGTTGAAGTAGCCAGAAGCATGGTTGCAAAGAATGACAAGTTGCTTACCATTTTACCTTATGATAAAAAAGAGCCTCTATTTGTCGAGGCTGAGAGGCAGGAAAAAGGGGGAAAAATGGCTCGCTATCTCTACCCCCTCACTGCAAAAGACACTATAAGAGTTACTGATGGCGCTCAACTCATTTCTCTCGGTTTTCGTCACCAAAGATTTGGTACTATTTTTTCCCTGCATACTTGCAATACATGTCCAATTATTAATTTCAATCTTTTCCCGTGTGATTATTTTTTTCTGCATGTTTACAATGTTATTTTTTTCACACTTTTATTATATAGATATTGCGTGGAAGTTGATTCAACATTACCCACAATTGGCCGTGTCTAAAGACAACGATGGGGATATTCCCTTAGTAACATTGGCTAGTAACCGTTTAGCATTCTTAAGCGGAAGCCGGCTCAATTTATGGGAAAAAATGATCTATTACGGTTAGTGCAAATTACAATATTGCTTTTAATTTTTTCATCATATTTTCGTAACTGCAATTTTTCTATAAAAAAAAAAACTTGATATAAGTTCAATTTTGTGATTCACTATTAGGAATAGTCCACGTTTGTAAAATTGGTCCGGTGACTCAGCATATTTTTATTTTCATACCAATATATATATACGCCTGAGATTACAAACTGTTATAAATATGTAACAGATTATACACTATTATAAATATGTAAATGCACATAATCCCTTAATTATAGGATTAATAGTTGATCGAATGCTTTAATGGTAGGATTTCAATTAATCCATTAATAACTTCAACTTTCCCGTAGAAAATATGGTCTCTCTGTCGTCGTCGTGGTCTTCTTCTATAGCTCCCTTGCTTGAACACCATTTGCTCGTTCAAACTTTGATTTGTGATCATCTTTCTTGTTAATTTGTTTTTTTATATTTTGTATTCATCTTTCTCCTAAACCCAAAAGTAAAGTCTCAAACAAGATAACCCTAAGTGGATTAATCTAGTGGAAAACAAACAAAGATTTGGAACCGGAGTTTGAACTCCCACAAATGCACTCTTTGTGGCCATTGCCTCTATCATTATATGTGGTGAGATAACTTTAACTCCTACATTTAACAAAGTAAAAATAAAAAATCTCTAACATGATTGTTCATTCTAGACAAACTTCCTGAATAGAACCTAATTCAAGTTGTTTGGTGAAAAAATACACGCTACTGGGAGTCGAACATACCAATGTTCAAGCGTGGCTTGTTTCTTTTCGAATCGATCATGAACATAATATGTTTTTCTTCACGGGCCGAGCTTCAACAAGTCGAATATGAGCCAATTCCAATACAATATGAAGTTGTTTCGAGCTGATATACAATCCTATTCCTATTGATGCAATATATTCACATCTTTGTTCCATTGTTTATATGAATTATACATTCATATCTGTGTTCCGTTGTTGACAACCATATTCCATTATTTTGTAAACCAAATGATGTGGATGTTGATGATTGAATTATTACTTAATTTTTTATTAACATGCTTATTTCTTATTGGTGACACAGTATTTGGTTTAGAAATTTAGTTTTCCTAGCATTATTTTACTAAATATAATTAATGAGTAGTATGACAAAGAAGAAAACGAGTAATGCTATACTTATTATATTTTTCATACAACATTTCTACAATCTCTATAATAAAGGTTAGGGATGGCAACAAGGTGGATCGAGTTCAGATATGCCATCCCTATAACCGAACCGAAACCATAAACTTCCTTCAACGGGGATTCTTGGTAATCGAACCTGTCAAATAATGAATTCCCTATTGAGTAACAATTGATAGTTATTATTTTAAATTTTTTTTTTTTATATATAATGCATGATTATTGATGGGGTGTGCTATCCACACACCCCATTTTACTTCTTACACACCCTTTGATAATTTCTGTCCGTTGATCTTCTTCAATTCATCCGATCCGACGGCCAAAAAGTAAAAAGGTGTGTGAGAAGTAAAATGGGGTGTGTGGATATCTCACCTCTTATTGATAACCCGTTTGCTCATATAATAAATATTTATATTTTTTATTAAAAAATGAAAACATGACGAGTTCGAGTGCAGGTTAGGGGCTGATACCCAATAACTATAACCGATCATCCAAAATGGACAATTTATCTGAAGATTACCCATCGATCATCCAAAATGGACAATTTATCTGAAGATTACCCATAACTATAAAATACCTAAAATTTAATCCCCAAAACCAAACCATTTGGATCATTTACTTGCTGTCAGTTATTGTTGTGTCTTAAGCCAACGACAATCCTCTTTTTCCATGTTTTGCTGTAATATAACACACACACACACACATATTTGTATATATTATAGGTATATGTTTGTATCTGATAACCAACATTTTTTGATCAAATTTAGAGAAATATAATTTTGCATCTTCTTAAGGTAGGAGTCCCAATTTTAACTCTAGGTTTACACCTAAAATCAAATATGACTTTTGAGTACAAATTTTAGAGAGCCAACTGAAATTTGAAACTTGTGTCTTTACTTTTCGACAATAAAGATAAGGGTAATTCTCTTGCGAATAATACTTATGTACACTTAGGGGTGTACTTCCTTTTTCACCCAATTGTAAATAATGATTTTCATCATAGAAATGTTTCAATCAAAATCGTTCATGTTTTTAGTCATTATCTAAACATCTCTATAAAATATCAATCTAACTGAAAATTATTGAGTCATTCATATGTATAAAATGAGTCAATGATTCGATAACAATTAGCATTCTCATGTTGCATAATTATTTATCACAAGTAATGCTTAAGTACGTAATTAACATACAAATCTTGCTTCAGAATAATATTTCTTTGAACTAATGATTGGGATTGTGTTCTTATTTTGATAGGTATATGGATAACACCTCTTCCTCTCATTAATGAAAGTGACCATAGTGATAAAGGGAGTCTCATTTTCTCAGGTATTTTACATGTTTGCAATGTAATTTGGTTTGTGTTAATGCCATGGTATATTGTTCAAGAATGCTACTACAAAAATATTTGAACATCTTCATTCCATATTTCCTACTTAAGAGTTATAAATAAGTCGAGCCAAACGGAATATTACACAGCTCAAGCTTCATCTATTTATTTTTATAGTTCAAGCCAGGCTTGACTTTCTTCTGATTCGAGCTGAGTTAGAGTGAGCTTAAAGAACTCAAGCTTGATACCAAGCTCAAGTTGTTTTGAGCCATTTACTATTCTAAATGTTTTTCTTTAAGATAGTCATACAAACATGTTTTTCTTAGAAACCAGTAGGAGGCAAAGTCATCATGCCTGTAGTTTCTTTAAAAAACCAAGAAGACGCCCGCCGCGGGGGGGGGGGGGGCAATCGTGCCTGTAGTTTCTTTAAAAAACCAGTGGGGACCAATGTTCAAGTGTAACTTGTTTCTTATCGAACTGATCATAAACATAAGTCCTTTGCTTTTTGACAAGTCGAACACAAGCCAATCCCAATACAACTCAAATTGTTTTGTTCCATTTTTATATGAATTATACGTTCATATCTATGTTCCCTTCCCTTGTTTACAACCAAGTCCTTTGCTTTTTTATGTATGTAGAGATTGTAGTTACTAGATATAATTAATGAGTTAATAGATGTAGGATCTACCAACACAAGTGAGTCTAATTTTTATTGGAAAGATGATACAAATGTGAAATGAAAATACGATAAGAATAACATTTTTGTAAATTTCAATAATAAAAAGAACATTTTTTGTAAAAAAAGAGAACAAGCAAAGTAATACACATAGGCGAGTATGAAAAAAAAGACCAACATAGTACGAGGAATGACCCATTTATGATAAATAAAATGTTTTGAAATAAAAAAGAGATGTGGCTAGCTTACTCTTGTGTGTAATAAGCACAGAACAATCCTCTTTTTCCTTGTTTTGTTGTTGTAATATATATTCTTTCAATCATAGTGCGTGTGTGTGTGTGTGTGTGTGTGTTTGGTAGGTATATGTGTGTAGCTATTGTCTAATAACCAACATTTTGCCATCAAATTGGACTTGCAATGCAGTACGAATGGGTTTACTCCGAGTATGGAGGATTCTCCAAAAACTTTTGGGTACGTAGGCCACGCATTCATATCGTTAATTGATTTTTTATTTATTTTTATTGTTTTATTAATAGTCAATATTATTTTAAAATGATTGTAATTTTATATTTTCTTGAATGAACCTAGAAAACAATCGAGTATATGAGATCAAATTGATGCATAAGCGAGTGAGCCAGTTTCTACCTCTCATGTGTAATACCACAAAAGATACACATGTAATTGAACTCTTGAAGGCAGCATTGTGCGTTGCTGCAGAACGAGGGCATGTGGAGTATATTACTCATTTGAGTGAAATTGATGAGTCATTTCTAAGTAGCATTAAGAACGAAAAAGGTCAGAGCTTGTTCCAAATTGCTGCTGAAAGTCGTCACTTCCAAGTCATCCATGCTGATCTTTTCCTCCAAGGACAAGATACATACGGCCAGGTTCGATCTGATCGAATGCGGGACATAGTGGGGAGGAGAGATTCCTATGGCAATAATATGCTACATACACTAGCAAGTGTTACTCCATTGTCAAAGATTGATCACATTCGAGGTGCAGTTTTGCAAATGCAAAACGAACTACGATGGTTCAAGGTAACTATTTTATCTATCTATGTATATGCTTATATTTATGACACACACACACACACACACACATATATATATATATATATATATATATATATATATATATATATATGTTGTCTATAAGTTGTGTACACATATTTTTGGTGGCTATAGTTTTACTCTCATTCTCTTACTCCGCTCCCTTGTTTTGTTATTTTATTTATTTAATTTAAAAAAAAAAGAGAATGCTGAATTTACTTCCTTTAAAATAAAAAATAAAAAGACTTTTTAGCTAAAATAGTCACTGAGATTTGCATAACTCTTTACTTTGGTTCCAAAGATTTGAAATCAATATAATTAGTCTGTGAGTTTGTCCACAATCAATCATTTTGGTCATTCCATGAAAAATCTCCATAAAATAAGAGTAAAATGACAAAAATATCCTCAATTTTTGTCAAATCATTTTGGCCCATTGTTTATTAACTTGAGGATAATTTTATCATTTTGATCATTATTTAACATAATTTTTCACCCAAAGACTAAAATGATTGACGTTGGATAATCTCAAGGACCACTTATATTGATTTCAAATCTCAGGGATCAAAGTGAGGAGTTATGTAAATCTCAAGGAACATTTTGACTAAAAAGCCAAATAAAAATAAAAAAGTTGTCGACATGCACAAGCATAATAAGAAAATATTGGAATTAAAAAGGAAAATATTATTTTGAAACTATGTACTATACTAGCATCCTACGTAGCTTAATTAATGATTTTGGATTATGTGGTGTCTCAAAGACCAAATGTTTAAGGACTGATATGAAGAGATAAGATTTCCAAAAAACAATATGAAGAGAGAAGGATTTTATAGTCACTTCTGTAAAAATCTTTTGTCGCAAAAAATGCAGGAGATGGAGAGCCATGCATATCCCAATGATCGTGAATATCTAAACGATGACAATATGACACCACGAGAAGTATTTACGGACAATCACAAAGAAATGGGGAAAGAGGCAGAAAGGTCAATGAAGGAAACAGCAACTTCTTGTACAGTTGTAGGTGCTCTCATTGTCACTATTATGTTTGCTGCAGCATTCACAGTTCCTGGTGGAAATGATGAAAAGACAGGTCTTCCTAAATTCATAACTAAAAAGGTATTTAGAGCATTTATAGTTTCGGATGCAATCTCACTCTTTTCTTCAACAACTTCGGTTATCATGTTTTTGGGCATTCTCACGTCACGTTATTCTGAAGATGATTTCCTCAAATCGTTGCCCACAAAAATGATAATAGGCCTTTTCACCCTCTTCTTATCTATCACCAACATGATGATTGTCTTTTCTTGTGCCCTTTACATTATGCTTGACGGGAAATTATCGGTTCTTATTCCAAACATTTTGCTTGCTAGTGTTCCAGTTACCTCCTTCATCTGGATGCAATTTCCATTGCTTGTTGAGTTATTCAATTCTACTTTTGGACGGGCATATTTGCTATGTTTTAAGAAACTTGTATGTTGCATCCATAGTATGTGCATACTATTTGTCGATTTTTATTACGATTGTTGTTGTTAATAAAGTATGTTCTTCGATCTTAAAATAAAATTCCAACTTCAATTTATATTTTTGAGTGTTCAATTTTTGGTGAATTCTATTTTGAGTTAGTTACTAAGACAATCTCTCTCTATAGGCTCTACTTTTTTTGTTGATAAATTGAATTCATTGAAGCAAGCCCAAAAGGGGGAAAGGTACAACAACGTTATCTTGAGCAGGGAAAAACATAACCCAGCAAATAAAGACTAACAAAACAAAGCCATACATGCATGCAAAGGGAGGGCAATAGAAGGCACTCCCGAGCTATAACAATTAAAATACCGAAGGACATAGTTATCCATCGCGTGATATAAAGAAAACAATCGTTCACTGTTAACCAATAAAATCAAAATTTCATGATGGTGAGGATAAAAAAATAATAATTTGATGTTGACGTTGACGACATAAGTAAAAAGTGTTGAAAATGAATTTCTTATTGATGAGACGAGTGTCCTTGCATGAGTTTATAAATAAGTTGAGTTACTCCCTATGATGTCAATTGGTTTTATAGTAGAACCTCAATTTTTTCTTCTTCATAATATCAAGTTAGGTTGACCCATGTGTAAACCTCAATAGTCACACGTGTTCCACATCACTCATTCTTGTTGTCCACGTGTATGGTTTGAAAATTCGCCACACGTGAGGAGGCATGTGAGAATGTGAAGGTAAAAGAGTCCAACTGTAACACCTCGATCCCAAGATGTTCCCGGAATTGACACATGATAGTAGGACAATAACGGTACAAAGGGTGGCAATCCTACTCTTGAGTGCGATGCCCACACAGCTACACTACCTGCAAACCTTTTCTCTAACTGCTACCCATTACTATGCAAAATAACCCTACATTGTAGGAATGGTGCACCGAGCAAAGCAAAACCCGAATAAGCTGCGAAACTCGTGTGAGTGACAATAATACAACATATGTGAACATCAATAACATCAAATGATTAAATGTCAAAGTAGTGCTACATCCACACAAGAATTTTCTCTGAATACTAGGTCAATTCAATCACCGTCAATATCATCGTGTCATTCTCTTCGAATTGTGCCTCACCACTAGTCATTCTTATTTTTCGAATAATCACAAGGGTCCAATTGCCACATATTTCATAATTCAACCACTATACACCTCATTAATATGTTAGGAATGATTATTCAATTCTGAATCTCACCACACGTCTATCAAGATAATATTCAATCATCGCACAACTTCGAGTTGTGTAGAAATGATACAACATCAATAATACAATCACGTGTAGGAATGAGATTGATATCTTTTTCATAATTGCATCTCTTTGCTACGAGTAGGAATGAGTCACATCCGAAATCATTCTCTTTAAAGGCAACCCCAGTGTTCTAAAAATCGACATAAGCACTGGACGGTGGTCGACTGCCGTGATTAGCTCCTAATCGATCGTAAAATCGGTAAACGTAGTAGGCGAACGCTTGAGCGAGATTAGGCAGGTCTAGGCAGCGATATGCAGGTCTAACAAGGGCTGGGCGGATGGTAAGCAGGCCTAGGCGGCCGTATGTTAAGTCGCCGGAATCTGGAAAATATTATGAATTTGGGATAAAAGATGTTGCAGAGTCGGGAGGAAGAAGATGGACATGTGGGGATCACATCTTCTTTTTAAATTTAAATGGACGGCACGATTTCTTCATGGTCCCACCCATCTCTATTTTGGTTGCACGTTTCTTGCCATTCCTGTTTCCAATAACCCCATTTACTATTTTATATTCCTTTCCACTAACTCTTTTTACTATTTTTTATAATCTTTTATTTCTTTTCTCTCCTAATTCAATCAGCACTTTTTTTTACTCTATTTTTTTGTACCCATTGTTTTATTATTCTTTTTCCTTTTAGACCATTTATATTAATATGTATAAAACCATAACATTACATTACATACATACATACATACATATATATATATATTATTTTATGCATTACGTTACATATTATATGTAAAATTTAATTAATTTATATTAAATTTACTTAAATCCTTGTCCGCCTAGGCCCCGCCAAGGCGCTTAGACGTTAGGTCTGAGCTCGCAACCCGACTAGCGTCTAACGTCTTTTGGAACCTTGGGCAACCATATCATGTAAACTATTTGATTTGGTTGTCATTTTCTAGATTGAGCCTCACATGCCTTCAATCTCATCTTTCAATATTTAATAACCAATAAGGCTATGTAGAGACACAGTTGGGCCGAAGCCTACAATAGGTAACCGATTAGGATGTGGTCCCCCATTACGGATTAACCAAGCAGAACCACTAATGTGAATAACATGTAGGTAGTGACCCCCCATAGTGAATTAACCAAGCAGAGTCACTCACCCATCGCAGATTAACTAAGCATAATCACCCCTAAATGTTGGTCATAAATGACCTTTTTTTTTTTGTAGTGCTAAGTAATATGGATTGCTTATTGCATATTAACCAAGCATGATCCCAAAGTAGTATGGTCCCCCATTGCAAATTAACCAAGCAAGACCATCCATGTACCACTGCTACATGGTGCAGATTACGATTATATCCCATATTACCCCGTGTACTGGGTTAAAGGTCATCTCCTAGCCCTCACATATCACAATCATTTCAAGCATAGCATATACATATATTTTTGATAGCATCATCAAGTAAACATAGCATAGTAACATACATTTCCATAAAATCATTTGTAAATCCATGTTATATCCACATAGTATGTAACCAGGAATTTCATGGGTAAAAACCATATCACATAATATTAATTTCCTCACCTAAGTTATTTCGCACTTCCAAATTCACCAACTCATCTCCAAGAAACCTAATACAACACACAAACCCCACTTAGAAAACTTAGTAAGACTGACACGTAAAACGAGGTACAATGCTACTTGCACGAAAATTGAGATGCACTTCAACCGGGAATGACACGTCATCGTGATGAGCCAACTAAGCTCCATCAAGCCTCAACAACATCCTAAAGATAACCACGACACACCAGAAGAGGGCACGTTGACTAGAAAGTCTACCATCGTTAAGGGAGGTCCACTAAGGCCAACAATCTTAGGTTATTCAATCCGGAAGATTCGCACTTTGGATTTCTGATTCATAAGTTCTCAAATGTCCAACAATTAATAACTAGGATGTCTATAAAATTGTACGACGATCCAAATGTTAGATCTTCGCCAATCATACAAATGAGTGGCGGTCCAATTTGATTACAACACCAAATAATTGAATTTCAGAAAACCGAGCTAAGCATAGGTTCACAAGATCGCTAGAAGGTATTTGGTATTTAGACAACACTTGTGAGCGGTTACATGCATCGCCACATGCGGTGGTAGCCAAGGTGAAGAGTTTGAAAACTTAAATTTTCAACATTAACTAAATGAGCTCAAATTTACGTGGTAACTAGAGCTCAACAAGGGAAACATTTTTCACAACTAGGCCGTTGACAAATTTAAGCAGGAAACTGACCAAATTCACCTGGAAAACAAGATTTCTAGGGTTATAAACACCCAACTCTAGAACGACTACAAAAATGCAAACCAAGCATACCAACTTGAAGGTCACGAAGAGTAGATAAAGTTTATACCTCACTCAAAGGAAAAGGTTGCCGGAATCACCGAAAAAATGACAAAACTGCCGGAAAACCCACAAGACTTTGCTGCCTCGAGCTGGAAAAATGGATAAGAACATAGGAAATCTAACACTACAAAGATGTAGGGCTCGTCAAGAGCTTTCCATGGACACCAAAATCACCCCAAACAGAGCTCGGACAGAGGAGAAACGAGCGGGTCAAGTTGGCGGATCGACGACCCGATCGTACCCAAAACAGGTCTGCAATCAGGTGCCCCATTTTGGAAACCTTCTGGAACTTTCTGGGAGCTGCCCCTCCATTTATAGCATTTTGGCCAAATTACCAAAATGTCATCCAACTTTAAACGTCTCTAACTTCTTCGTTCTAATTTGGAATTGAGATCTGTTTGCGCCTACGCGCTCAAGAGTTAACTGAAAAGGTCAAGAAAAAAATTTGAAAATGATAGAAATACCCCTCACTTAGTTTTCTCGAAACCAGAGAATTTAACAAACTAACTTCAGTTAAATCTCATAAATACGTCTAAAAATAAAATAAAATACTAATTTTAGGGATGGGATATCACACTCACTACTTACCATATTACCAATTGGTTTTATAATGTAACTTCAATTTTCCTCTAAAAGAAAGATGCTTCTCATTAAAAAGAAGCACCAACTAAACAGAGTGGAGATAACCTTCGTTCTCCTATTTGCTGCATTACAAGCCATGTTGATACTGGTAAAACTAAGTTGTTGGATTGTATCCGAGGCACAAATGTTCACAATTTTTGGGATGATACGATTTCCTCCTTCTCGGAATGGATTTTCTCCTTAACTAACGTGACATCATATTATCATATAATAATAATAATAATCATAATTGTTCATTATCTTTATGATTATTTAAAGATTATTCTTAGAAAAATTCAATTGACAGGAAAATTGTTTAGTCATTTACAAAGAGATTTCAAGTTTGACTCTCATAAATGATGAGGTCGATTTGTAACCCATTATGTTGCACCAATCCTCATTCCATAATACAATATTATATGTCACTTAGTGCTACGGTATACTGATATTTCTTTTCGCTTGTAAGTGAGAGGTCTTAGGTTTGATTCTCGCCGAAGGTGAAATTGAGCCACATTATTGTTAGCCCATTATAAGGATAAGCTCACTCACTCCTCCTTAATGTAGATAATATCATTTGTTAAAAAAAAAAAAATCACAATATTATATTAAAAATTGGTCAACTTTACCTTTTAAAATTTAACTCTTAAATGATAGGGAATTTGATACCAAATTAGATTGTTCATTGTATGGTTTAGCTGAATTCCCCCTCTTCTTAGGATAAAATATATTGATGTACTAAAAAAAAAAAAACTCTTAAACATTACTTATTAACTATAGAGTTATATACCAAAATTCATATATGAATCCAACTTTCCGAGTGATTTTTTTTTTTTCAAAAGAAAAAAAAAGGGAAGGACAACTGGCCACCTTTTCCGAGCTTAGAAGAGGTTAGTTGGGATTTACATTCTATCTATGATTACGATAAAGCAGATTCACAATTTATAAGTATTAAGCTCATGACCTCCTGTTATTTCTTTTAAGGAGCTGTTGTCTGCATTCTTTCACTAGGATACTTGTAGTGGTTTTTCGAGTGCATTGAAATTGAGAATATAACTTAACCCAAGCACATACGGCACCATTCCATTCTTACTCCGTACATAGACAACGACACAATCTAATGGTTCGTTTGGAAATATTTTTAAAATAATTACAAGTGTTTTTGATGAAATTGATTTTAAGTTTCAAAAAAACTTATGAAAGAAGCATTAGATTAAAGCGTGTTTTCACAATCCACTTGTATTTTCACTAAAAATTGATTTCTAAAACATTTCCGCCAAAACTCTTATAAAAACATCTCCAAACCAGCCTGAGACTCTCTCTCTCTCCTCTAACCAGAGCAGCTTCTGTAGCTTTGGACTTCGAGACAGAGATGGAGGAGGAGAGAACGAGGAAGAAACTACTGATACTCTACGCCACCCAAACCGGAAACGCTTTATCCGTCGCCGAGCGAGTGGGCCGCGAAACCGAGCGCAGAGGTTGCCCCGTCCACCTTCTCTCCCTCGACCAATACGACGCCGTAAGCAGTCCTTCATTGCATTCAATTTTTATTCCTCTTCTGATAAAAACAATAATTGTATTACCTGAAGAATAATTTTCTAATTTTTCTGTTTTACTCAGAGATGCTTAGCTCAAGAGGGCACTGTAATTTTTGTTGTTTCAACCACTGGCCAGGGAGATACTCCTGATCCCATGAATGTAAAGAGCTTTTGCTTTTGCTTAGGAGTTCAGTTAACTTGTTTATTTACCGTAATTCTCCCATGTGGGTAATTTGATAAAGGTTAAATATGTGAAAAAGATTGCATCTTTATGTGTATGCAGGGGTTTTGGAAAGATCTTCTGCAGAAAAATCTGAGTAGGCAATGGCTGGAGGGACTCCGTTACGCTGTTTTCGGATTGGTGATTCCGGTTACCAGAAATTCAATGTCTATTGTTTTGTGCCATTTCTTTATCTTCTGCACGATTGTTTGTTGCAGCCTGTTGCATGATCGATGAGTATAAAGTGTTGCTTTTTGACCCGTTAATTTAAATGGAATTTATATGCTTGTGACGTTCGAGTTGTGGTTTGCAGTTTGTGGCAAAGAAGCTTGATAGGAGACTTTTGGACCTTGGGGCAACCCCGATTGTCCGAAGAGGTTTGGGAGATGATCAGCACCCATCAGGGTACAGTTATGATTCTTTTATTTGAAAATTAGTTTATGAAACCTTGCTATATGTAGAAACTGGGACGATGTATTTTGTTTTACCGTTAACAGGTGTGAAGCTGCTCTGGATCCGTGGATGGCATCATTGTGGAATATGTTGAATAAAATCGATCCCAACTACTTGCCAAATGGCCCAGACTTTTTGATTCCATATGAAAATTTCATGGCGAAACCAAAGGTTCGGATTCTGTATCGTGACATTGACAAGGTGGATTCACAAGTTTCGTCTAAGTCAGGTAATTTGGCTGTTTATAGTTCCCTTCTTTCTATAATCGTGTATTTGCAAATATCATTTTACTGACCAATAGTTAGGAAGCATGTTTCCAAAAGCAGTAGGCTTTTTACGAATACGAACCAGTAGGTTTTCAGATTCTATTAAATGGCATGTTACAATTCTTACTTTTTTCTTGCCTTTCCTGGTTAACCCTTTAGACCAAATTCAATTTAATGTTAAACAAGGAATGTTTGATACCAGATGTGTATGTCATTTCTGTTGAGCTCATCCTTGCATACAGTTTGTATGGAGTGTCTAATTAAGTCATGCCTCTGGGGTTTTCTCAGACTTGAATCACATGGCGTTGCAGATTGAAAGGGCACGCAGAATGTCTCCTTTGAAGTTTTCTCTTGACAGGCCTGACTGCATTCTTAAATTGGTAATGTTAGAATGCTATGTTATCGTGTGTAGAAAATTCTGGTATTTCTAAATGCAGAAGAACCTGTTAATTTAAGTTGGATGTTTTTGTTTCATGCATTCCACAGCTCAGTTAAACTTTTGTCTTGTAGGTAAAAAATGAACCACTGACTAAATCAGGTTGTAAAGACGAAGAGGTGCATTACTTCGAATTTGAATTTGTTTCATCTGTAAGTTGCCTACTAAGTGCTTGTTACCGTTTATTTTTGTTTCAACCAATGTATTGTTACCGTTTGTTTCAAAGTGAGTTGTTTCATTTGATATGCCAGCCTATTCCATATGAAGGTGGTGACGTACTTGAGGTTCTCCCCAGTCAAAGTTCTGCTGCAGTGGATGCTTTCATACTTCGTTGTAATTTGGACCCTGAATCATTCATCACAGTGAGTATTTTCTTTTGTATATTGGTTGAAATGTTGAGTGGTGCTACCTTAAAATTTTTACTAAAATAAAATATTGAATTTTGTTGAATTTTTTTTCTTTTGTTTTGACATAATTTACTTATACTTCAAAAACAATTTTCTGAAATCTGTTTACAAGAGAAAGGAAACACGTTGAAGGATTATTTATATAGTTCTTCTTCCTCTCATTTTTTATTCCTACTTTTGGCACTGTTGATTTCAGGTTCATCCTTCAGAAATGGAGAATCAGCTTCCTGATACTTGTATCCCCATCAAATTAAAAACTTTTGTTGAATTGATAATGGGATGTTGAATTAAAAACTTTGGGAGTAGCCTCTCCATAAATGGGGGTAAGGCTAGTTGACATTCACCTCTCCCAGACCCTGCGTAAAGCGGGAGCCTTGTGCACTGGGTACGACCGTTGTTGAATTGATAATGGATGTTGCATCAGCTTCTCCTTGACGCTAATTCTTCGAGGCAAGAATCTAGCATGTATATATACATGCTAATGCCCTTCAATTGATCTTCTTTGAATATTTTTCAGGTCATGAGTATGTTTGCATCCGCTGAACATGAAAGAGAAAGACTTCAGTATTTTGTGTCACCAGAAGGAAGAGATGATCTATACCAATACAATCAGAGGGAACAACGGACTGTTCTGGAGGTTTTAGAGGATTTCTCCTCTGTTCAAATGCCACTCGAATGGCTGGTACAGTTGGTTCCTCCTTTGAAAAGGAGGGCTTTCTCCATCTCTTCGTCCCCTTCTGCCCACCTCAATCAAGTTCACTTAACAGTTAATGTAGTATCATGGACAACGCTGTTCAAAACAATTCGAGCAGGTCTCTGTTCAAACTGGCTATCCAAGCTTGATCCTGAACAACGTATGTCATATGCTGTACATGTAAATCATATTATTAACAATGCAAATTATACATGTAAATCATATTATTAACAATGCAAATTATACGAATTACCGTTTCATGTCCTTGATTTTTGTTCTTCTGTGATAAGCAGGTGTTTACGTTCCAGTGTGGTTTCAGAAGGGTTCCCTTCCTCCCCCACGACCATCACTTCCTCTCAGTCTCATTGGACCTGGAACTGGCTGTGCGCCTTTTCGTGGATTTGTGGAGGAAAGAGCTGTAAGAACTTGTAAACAAACAAACACCAAGACCAAAGCATGAACCACAAACAAAAGGAAACCAACCCAGTTATGTGCACATAAATAACCAGAAAGGAAAACATACCTGCAGCTGCACCAGAACTCGTAGCCATTGCAGCAAACTTTCAGTGATCCTTCTCTTCTCTTGCAGATTGTCAAGAGCTCGACTCACAGATAGGTTATGGTCCAATATGAGCGTTAGTTCTGTGAGAAGAGAGGTCACTATATATATACATATAGACTTCACCAAAATAGATCAGGATTTCCTATCAAAATCCTCATCGGAAACAAACACTTGTTTCCTGATGCTAACCAAAATCCTTTTCAGTCAAGGATCAACATTCCTTTCATCAATAGGACTTTCTATCCAAATTGAATACCTATAACTGGTCCTAAAACTTCTCTATCTCATACTCATACTTATATTCTTACATTCTCCCACTTGAGTATGAGAACAGTTTCAAGTACTCAGTTTATCCAATCATACTTAGATAGAAGTGATCACTAACAGATAATCATCTCAAATTATTATAAAGGTGATCACATAATTAAGTCATTCACCAACACACAAGTACATAGACACAACTAGCTTACATAAACCAAAACAATGAATTTATAATTGCCTCTGCAACACAAAATACAGATTTAACTTACAAATCACAATGTCCAGTTCATGTTCATAGCAATGTATCTAAGCTCAAAGGTAAACCAAGACGTCTACTCCCACTCATATAGCCACCAAATCTTTTGGATAACAAAAGCTTAACCTCACATACAACTTACCCATGCATTTTAAAATATTGAACTTAAGAATTTTTTCTGTTACATCGCAGAATTAACTCAAAAGTCACAACATACTTAATTTGCACTTTGTAATTATGTGAACCAATATAGCAAAAACCAAACCAATTTGCTCCCACTTATCTAGGCTATACTTAACACAAACAAGTTAAGTATAAGTTAATATCAACTGTATTAACTAACAGTCATTGCAATACACTAAATGTCTTATCAATGTGATCAATTGCCGCAACCAATATGCAAACAAATTCCATGATCACATTCATCCAATTTGTATTTACAACAATGTGATTTTACTTGACCAGAACAAACACATAAATTGATTTGCTCCCACTATATCAAGTTAAGTTTAGTTCCAGCAAATAGCACTAAGCTTCTCATTACTTAAACAAATTAAGTAACATAAATAATTACCAATTGCTTCAATAAAACCATAATCTGGTTTTCAAGCATCCAAATGAATTATAATGGCCGGCCTAAATAATCTTATGCTTACATTCGAACATATGATTCTCCTACTTAAGCATAAGCAGAATGTACTGCACAACCAATAAAGAAACCGGAGATATGAACCAATTGATTCCCGATTCCTTACCAATTGCATAATCTCAGTTTAGTCAAATACACCTAAACCATTATGCAAATAGTCTATGTATCAAAAGATAGTCACAATCCATTTGGAAAAACTTATCTCACATAAACCCAAAATCACCAGTTTCAACAATAATCAAAATCAGAATAGCAAGCACAATATTCTTGCATTCAATTTGATCCTAACTAGTTCAACACCCATCGAGCAAGATCAACTAAATTTTGATAATGTCTGGATATAAAGGCACAAGTCATCTTGATTAAAACAAGATAATCAAGATGATCATCCAATAAAATTTAGTGTACTTATAGATTTAATACATAATATCAAATCTCTTACACTTACAATATATCAAGTGAGATGAGTTTCAGAATACATTCTTGCCAACAAGGTTTCACTAAACAATTTATATCATTTCATGCAGGTATTAACACAAGAGCCTTCACATGTTTTTGGTTATACAGTGCAGATATTGGCATTAACGAACCCAAAAATTTCGAACTACATCATTCACATATATGGCAACACCCCCAAAACCTATTATATATAGTCTAACCAAAATTGGGGTATGAATTACACTCATAATTTTAAAAACGTCATTATGGATACTTGTATAATCCAATTTTGCTTTTCTAGAATAATTCAAACCAATCAGACCCACATAAAAGCCACAGGTATTTGGTAGCAACAATAAGTCAAATTCTATTATCATAATTCATAATGGAAAATCATGATGCAAGCTTCCAAGTTTCAAGCAAGTTAATGAGAAATCTTACATCTGCTTGAGACAACAAAATAGCAACAAAACATTATTTTCCACCCAATCTAATTACACAGGCTCTAACTAAAAAATAGAAGAGCAATGTGTACACCAAATATTAGTCTAATGAATCTTTATGCAGAAAGAATGATTCCAGTCATCTCACATAAATCATAAGTTGACATCTATAGGGACTTCGAGTTTAATTGTGCCTTCACAAAATAAACAAGCATACTCGGAATAGCAAAAGCCCTAATTCATTATGCTCCAACTCATCGCACTATAATCACGCATATAGGAGAACAATTAATTATGCATGAAACAGTGAACTGAGTTACCTGAATGCATCATTAGACTCGTATTCGACAACCCGATTGCAATTCCTTTGCTCCAAATCAACGAAACAAATTATCCATCAATGCTCGAGACCCATCCATACGGATTGCCATGGTTATAGACACGCCGAACCAAAATCATCGCCAAAGTGACGACCAGAATCCCGTCGACCCAAATTCCCACAAAAAAGACAAACCATGAACGTTAATATCTCTTAGACAAACAAAAACTTATTAATGTCGTCATAATCAAGATTTCATCTTTCTTTTATCTTACTAATATTTGGTCAGGCATATTTTATGCACATCTTTATTCATATAAAGGATTAAGAAACCACAGCTACCTCAATCTTCAGACATCATAATGAACACAGCGGAAGCAATAATTCTCAAAATTAGAACTATGATGTTTAAGATAAATGTGTTTTGCTAAATCACTTTATTGATCTCCAAAGAAGCAAGCAAGAATAAGTTCACCCTTTCCCACGTGCAGCATAATATAAATTGTTATCATACCAGATTTATACCTGATTCACATAATCTGCAGCTGCAAAGCAGATTCATATACGCTAAAACATACACAGGTATTGAAAGAATTAAAAGCAATCATACCTTTTAATCACTGCAGACTTATAGACAACATATGCAACAACAGGCATCAACAGACGTCTCATGCATAATGATCATTTTTCATGGTTGTTTAATAAAACACAAAACCATCAGTAGAAAATGCAAATCAAAATTTTTCCGCATATATGGAAAAATTCAGCCTTGATTATCAGCTCTAATCAGAAATATCAACACATACCTCCTGCAGATTTCAATTTGGAACAGCGCAACGGAAATAATTATCCAAATTGAAAAAATTAATTTAAGAGTTGAGAGAATCACAAAACCCAGAACATGTTTTGATCAATGAAGTTGCTAATCAAAACCCCAAATTGAGAAAACAACCTCAACCAATAGATTTGCAGAAAAAAAAAACCAATGGTAATAGTTTAAATATATTTTGTCATTATCTGGAGATCACATACCACCGATGCATCTAAGATGAAAACATTGAGGTTTGCACCAGCAATTGGCCACATATCAATCCCCAAAAATCATGACGGTCAATTTTATTTTATTAATTCTCTGCATATTGAAAACGCAATGTCGTTTTTGTTAAACTCTTTTCCAGCGAATTCGTTTAAACCAATTTCGAAACCTGGAAGTCGCAAAATTTATTTATCTATTTATAAACACATTCGACTTTTCTCCTTTACAGATTTGAACTCATGTTTGTGTCTTGTGGCTCTGATACCACATGTAAGAACTTGTAAACAAACAAACACCAAAACCAAAGCATGAACCACAAACAAAAGGAAACCAACCCAAGTTATGTGCACATAAATAACCAGAAAGGAAAACATACCTACAGCTGCACCAGAACTCGTAGCCATTGCAGCAAACTTTCAGTGATCCTTCTCTTCTCTTGCAGATTGTCAAGAGCTCGACTCACAGATAGGTTATGGTCCAATATGAGCGTTAGTTCTGTGAGAAGAGAGGTCACTATATATATACATATAGACTTCACCAAAATAGATCAGGATTTCCTATCAAAATCCTCATCGGAAACAAACACTTGTTTCCTGATGCTAACCAAAATCCTTTTCAGTCAAGGATCAACATTCCTTTCATCAATAAGACTTTCTATCCAAATTGAATACCTATAACTGGTCCTAAAACTTCTCTATCTCATACTCATACTCATATTCTTACAAGAGCCATACAAAGCTTGACCGAATCAACTGGTCCAGTGATATTCTTCTTTTGATGCAGAAACGAAGACAATGATTTTTTGTACAAAGATTTTTGGTTATCCAATTCACAAGATGGTGGGGTAATTACTTTCAGAAGCCAAGGGCGGGGCATTTTTGTTGCCTTCCAAGAGACCAGTCACAGGAGGTCAGGATAAGATGCGGGAACACAGATTTCAGAAAATATATAGAGTTAGAAAGGAAAGGTCAAATATATATTGTAGTGGATTCTCGCTTTATAATTTTTATTTTTATTTTCATGGAGTTCCATCTCATACATCAATGTTTTCGATACAGTGGCCGCAGAATATATCACGGGTCTGAAACTTGAATTTCCATGGCAGCAATCTGTTTACCGGTGTAACGAGGAGTGTTCTTTTACACTATGTTTGGATGAGGAAAATAAACTTGGAATTTTAGTAAAAGTCAGAATTTATAAATTGACATGTATCAATTCCCTTGTTTGGATTCATAACATAGAAATTTAGAATTTCCGTGTGGAAAAAAAACTTGGAATTTGTGACATCCAATTCCCAAGTTCAAATTCCATATAAATAAATGTCATTTCTCAATTTCTATGATTGAGAGTTTCAAAATAACAAAATATGTATTCAATTCCATTGTTCTTATAGGTTAACCAAACAATAAAATTTACAAATTCTAAGAGTATAACTTGTATAAGTTATACAAGTTATACTCTTAGAATTTACAAATCCTAAAAGTCTTTCTCCTCTCAGTTAAAAGCCAATCTGTATTCAATTCCATATAAATCAGGAAAGCATATGCTTTTAGGATCAGGAAGATATGCTTTCCTGATTTAGTACAGATTGGCCTGTCCTAGTTGGAAACTGATACACTCATACCCTCTATGCATAAACAGTCTGTCTCCTCTCAGTCGTAGGTGATTCCCGCATGACAAGTTTTTCAAAGAGTACAACTCTTTGAATTTGAACGTATTGTCTTTGTTTTCAATCTAAACCGTGGTAACATTAGAGTTGTACGAACTGGAACTTCGAATGGGAATAGCAATGTCATCCACTCGTAATATTCAATTATACTGCAGGCTTGAATCCTATGCGGAAATATGGTAATTTGATTGAAAGCAGATGCAGGCCAGAGGAATTGCTGTGACATGGGAAAGTTACAGAAGTCTACTACTGTGCCACGGTATTGCGGGAAGTTCGGCAGAGAAGCAGCACTGCAAGGAAAGACAGTTTCTGCCAAGAAATATTTGGCCACTGAAGTAGGATTTCGACCCCAAAGGTATACAAGGCATGGCAGTTGGCAGACTCGGAAGTAGAACAAGGGTTAACTGATAAGTAACTTCACTTCGAATCTTTGATTAAGTATATGTACTTAATAACCATGAGTACTTGGCCACAACCTTGCTTCTGAAGCAAGATCTCTGTGAGTGAATTACCGTTTAGCCCCGCCTGTTGCTTATTAGTGCGTGTGGATGAATGATTTTAAACGGGCGTATTCAATTAAGATTTTGAAAGATTTTAGAAGTATTATTAATTCATGGAGTTTGATAGAGTTTTGAGAGTTTGATGGAGTTTTGATGAGTGATTTATTAAAGCATAATATACACTTGCTTGAACCCGATTATGCACATGCTTAGGTCATATATTTTCTCATGCCTTGTCGTCAAGGACTTTATATATTTTCTTTGCTTATTTGCTTATCAAATATATTTCTCATGCCTTGTCGTCAAGGACTTTATATATTTTCTTTGTGTTATGCTAAGTGATAGCCACAAACTGATTAGGTTTGGGTCCAACTCAATTAGAAACTCTCGTATAAATGAATAAAGACAGAAAGTAAGACAAGTTAGATAAAAATAAAAAAGATCAGAAGTAAAAGAAGTTAGAGGTATTCATCAATTTACCTCTTAAATTTGTGACAATTGGCTAATTTCCCCCCTCAACTTTAATTTTGGCCAATTTCCACCCTCAACTCTCATAATTTGTCAATTTGCCCCCTACTGTTAATTTAAAAAAAAAACATTTCATCTATTATTCCGTTAAGTAGGTATTTGCATGATTGCCTTTGAAGGGCAAACAAGTCAATTTGCACTCTACTGTCATTTTTTCAATTTGCACCCTACTGTCATTTTCTGTTAAGTAGGTTTCCCTACACCTTACCAAAGGTAGACAAGGCCGAGGGAAGAGGCGACAGGGTGTGGGCAGCTGCAAACTGCAAAAGCAGCATATCAAATGGACTGAGTTGCAAACAACAGAGGAGGGAGGCATTGGCAGCAGTCACGGGCTTGGAGAAAAGGAAGAAGAAGAGAAAATTCGAAGAAAAGGAAGAAGATAGAAGATGTAGGGAAAATGACTTTTTTGCCCCTTAAAGGCTGTCATGCGGATACCTACTTAACGGAAGAATAGATGGAAAACTAAATAAAATTAACAGTAGGGTGCAAATTGACAAATTTTTAAATGCCGGTCGAACAAGTTTTTACTATTAAATAAAGTGCTTCAAAGGGAAGTTTAAAACAGGAAAATCGATATTACAAAAGAAGTAGTATAGCTATAAAAAGAAATACAGAGGAAAAAGGGTGCTGAATTACGAAATGCACTTGTAAAAAGTAGGCTATAAACGAGGCAAGTGTCCTCCATAATCATACTTACTGATCTGTGCAACATTGAGTCTCACACTTCTCCGATCATCCTCCATTAAAATCATTGTTTTCTCTTAACTAAAGATTATGACTTTTCTCTACCAACTTCCCAGAATCCAAAGTGCTTGAATTTGATTGCGCATAGGGTTCTCTCTATCTAAATTAAATCTGTAAGAACTCTCACGAATCATGATAGTGTTGCCATTAATTAATTGAGAAATATATAACATCTTTGCACTAATGTTTTGTAACTAATCCCATCATTGTGTAAATGCCTTTTCGTTCCTTGTGGCAAAAGAATAGCTCGTACTGTTTTCTTACTACTTTAGGATTAATTACAATAACACCCCTTTATGTTTATCGTGTTTTCACAAAATCCTTTCACGTTTGAAACATAACACTAATACCTCCTGAGACCATCTTCAAAGGAGATGTCAAATCCTAGGTGGAATTCCATGTAATCAAATTTGAAAGTACAAGTGAGCTCCAACCGATATGTCAATCCTATGTGGATTGACATATGAGTTTTCATATGTCAAATTTGACATCTGAGAAAATGTGATATCAATTTTTTTTAAATTATTTTATTATGTGGGTCCTATTAATGCACAAATTATAGGGACCAGGATTGTCTACCCTCCCATTTTTGGTGCCCTCCTATGCCCTCCTGTTTTGTGTGGTTACGGTTAAGCCATGTTAACATTATATATATTTTTTTATAGAGATAATAAGACAAAAATGAATAGTAATATAAAATGTTGACGTGGCTTAACTGTGACCACACAAACAAGAGGGCATGGGAGGGCACCAAAAATGGAAGGGCAGACAATCATTGTTCTGAAGATCTTAAAAAATGTATTTTAATTGATTTCTTTTTAAAATGGGTCCTACAAATATCATTTATAACAAAGAAACATATCGGTTGAAAAAAAAGAAAATTTAACATTGCAACATCAGCCTTCAAATTAACATTTAACATTTATCTTTTGACATCTCCTTTGGAGATGCTCTGAGATTCTAGTTTACTTTCACATAACCCTTTTAGGGTTGGCATCACCTTAAAATATTTTCTTAAAGACAATTTGCTCTCATTTTTAATTACTTAAACAGAGGGAGAGAGGAAAAGTAGAAAAGGGGGAAAAATAAATAAAAACCTTTTTAAAAAAGGAAAACTAATGAAAAAAGTTTTAAAATTTTGAGTTTTAACGATAAAGATAAAATAAATGATAAAGTGAATAGTATTAAAATTGATTTTTTAGTGTAAAAATATAATTTTTTGTTAAAATAAACAATACCGGGAGCTTTTCGTTAAAATATTTAAAAAAAAAAAGGGTTTAGGGCCTTCCATCCGCATTCACCATAACATAATAGAAATTCTTAACATGCTTCATCCTCTAGCCGTTTTCACAAGAAGCTACTCCTTCGTCTCGGTATTCAAGAAGATTGTACATACATATGCTTTATACACACATTTTGATGGCGAGGGTCCTCACTCATCAAAATGTATTCAAGAAGACTGTGCATACATCACATCATTTGCAACTACCACCAGTTTCACAAGAAATGTAATACATTTTCTACGACTTGTAATGTCATACATTAATTTATAAATTTGTGACAATATGATACGTTAATTTTTTTTTATCAATTTGCACCCCCTAATTCCCTCCCTCTCTCTCCCTTCTTCTTCTTCTTCGATTGATTTCCGAGTCCGAAGCTCTGCAATTTACACCCACAGACTCAGTTTACCTTCACTGCAATTTTAGTCAAGAACCTCTCTGCAAATACACCATGTTTCTTTGCAAGACCCAGTTGCAGAAGAAGCCCAGAAACATATTAACTAAACCAAAATCCACATACTACCAGAAGAATCATTGCCATCGATTCCCGTTCGTCGGAAAAACAAGAATAGAGGGAGAGCCAACGGTTCGGAACATGATTGGTGATTTTTTATTTATTTATTTTTTGTCTACTCTTTGCTCCAGATTCAGAGGGGGTACTTTGTAACATATAGAATTGCAATAAATAAAACCCCACGATTGGTGAATTAGTGCTGCTATTTTGGGTCAATGGTGATTTGGCCAACGGTGAAGAACAAAGGGAAGGGGAAGAACAGAGGGGGCAAAACCTGGGAAGAAGAAAAATGAAAAGACGAACTGGGATTCAAACGAAGAAGAAGAATTTGAGAAGACGAACTTGGGATTCAAGAGAGCAAGAGTGTGTCTGGAGAGGAAGAAGAGAGCGAGAGATTTCAACCCGACTAAATTGTACCGTGGTTTTGGACAGTATAAGCAAGCGGGTGAAGAGAATATAAAAAAGGTGGGCCATGATTATTTAATTCGGCGGTTATTTAATCTAAACGGGAACCAAACATTGTACTTCGTATTATTAGTACTATCCGATGTCTTATACTGTGTGCCAAACATGGCCTAAGAGAGTTGTTTTTTAATTTGATTTTTTTTAGCCAATTTAATTGATTTTAATTGTAAACAAAAAATTATTAGTTTATTGTTAATTAATTAATTTTTTAGTCCAGTTGGCAAAGGAGTGGGCTGTACTCCTGTCACATCATAATTTAACAGCTAAATTGACAGAAAATTTAACGAATTTCTAACATTGCAAAAAATTCATAAGTTGAGGTATGATATTACAATATTAAAAACATGAGGTATGAAATTATGATTCGATTCATAATTAAAGTAGTTTCGTGTAATCTACCCAAAAATAAACATCACATCGAAGGTGAGATTATATTCTGGTAATTTTCTTTTTTGGGGACAAGATTCTTACATCTTTTTCGTTTGTAAAAAGAAAAGATATGAGATATAATTGTCTTGCAAGTAGATCCCAAAAAAAGAAAAAAGAAAAAGAAAAGAAAGACAGCACATTAAAGGGGAGATTATGTCTTTTTCTTTTGTGAGAACAAGATGTTTACTTGTCTTCGTAGTTGTTTAAGTTTTTCATATGTTATCAATCAGGCAAAGTAGATGAAAGTTTGTCCTTCGAAGAAGAAAATCAAACAGTTTACATTATCAGAAAAGCAAAGAAGGCTCCACTATTAAATGTATCCAAGAAGGCTGTACATATATAACATCTACTATCGATTTCACGTGTAATATAACTTTCTCTAGAATTTATATTGAAAAGATACAAGTCTTACTTGCCTTACAAGTATACCAAAAAAAAGACAGCACATCTAAGGTTAGATTATACTTTGGTCTTTTTCTTTTGTGAAAATGCGATTCTTACATGTCTTCGTAGTTGTCAAGTTTCTCATCTGTTATCAATCAGGCACGATTGAGAAAAGTGTGTCTTCCTCAAAAGAAGAGATTAAACCATATACGTGATGGGGAAAGCAAAGAAGACTCCACTATCAAATGTATCCAAGAGGGTTGTACATATATAATATTAACTACCCATTTCACGTGGAAAATAACTTTCTTGACAATTTTTAAAGTGAAAAGATACAAGTCTTACCTGCCTTACAAATAGACCAAAAAAAAAAAAAAAAGACAACACATCAAGGGTTAGGTTATACTTCGGTCTTTTTCTTTTGTAAAAATGTGATTCTTACGTGTCTTCGTAGTTGCTCAAGTTTCTCATCTGTGATCAATTAGGCACGATTGATGAAAGTGTATCTTCCTTAGAAGAAGAAAATTAAACCGTATACATGATGGGGAAAGCAAAGAAGGCTCCACTATCAAATGTATCTAAGGTTGTACATATATAACATCCACAACTAATTTCATGTGGAATATAATTTTCTCTACAATTTGTAAAAGGAAAAGATAAAGAGTCTTACTTGTCTAACAAGTAGACCAAAAAAAAAAAAAGACACATCAAAGTTGAGATTATACTTAACTTTTTCTTTTGTGAAATTGCGATTCACCGTATACATGATGGGGAAAGCAAAGAAGGCTCCACTGTCAAATGTATCCAATAAGGTTGTACATATATAACATCTATCACTAATTTCATGCGGAATGTAATTTTCTCTATAATTTGTAAAAGGAAAAGATAAGAGTCTTACTTGTCTTACAAGTAGACCAAAAAAAAAAAAAAAAAAGACAACACATCAAAGTTGAGATTATACTTGTCTTTTTCTTTTGTGAAAGTGCGATTCTTACTTGTCTTTGTCGTTCAAGTTTTTTATCTCATGTTAGAATGAAATTCTTCCAAGTCTCTTTAAATTTCTCTCCATTCTTCCCATTTGATTTCAATTTTTTTATCTTCCATATCTTGTTATCATTTTGGGGACATATTTTCCAATTTGTTTATATCTTGGATTGTAGGTTCTTCCTTGTCAGATCGGGATTTTGGTTCGTTTTCGTTCTTGGATCTTGTTGCTTCCCCTTTGGTTACCCTTTATTGAAAATCAGGTAAAAGGTGATCGAGTTGAGTTGGAAGTTAAAAATTCGAAATATAAACACACATACTATGATTTCTTCTCTTGTTCTCGGCTTAGCAAAATCAGTGTCGTATCCATATCCCATCATATCTTATCAATGTGCACATACAGGTTTCTGTGCTTCGTAGTGTTGAAATTTATTAGTTATTATTTTGCTAGCGGGCTTTACTTTTCAGTTTGAGTATTTTTTTTCCCCCTTCAGCTCTGCCTCTGCACGCTGTCTTTATAAACACATAAGCTGAAAATCTTTGGTCTACAGTAGTTCCTGTTGGGCACTTTCTTATGGAACCTATTTTTGCATTCTGTTTTTCGTCGGTGGGAATGCTGGCGGTGTGAAGAGAACTGAAGAGGAAGGGCGAGCATGTAGAAGAAACACCAACGACCAAAGCTTCTTATTTAAAATTAAGAAATATTTGCCTTTTTTTTTCTTCACATACGCTTGATTAACGTAAAATCTCGTTGATTAAATTGTACAGATTGAACATGACAACTACAATTGTTCCTACACTTCTTAACCGTAAAAACTATGACGATTGGAGTTCTCGGATTAAGAGCTACTTGTTGGCCGAAGATCTTTGGGACGTTGTCGAACGCAAGTATGACAACAACAACAACGAGGCTTTGAGGAAGAAGGATGCTAAAGCCTTATATGCAATCGAGAATTCTTGCGGGAAAGATGCGTATAAACTTATCAAGGACGCAGACACGGCCAATGGCGCATGGGATACTTTGCAAGAAACTTTGAGACCAGCATATAATCGATCATCAGATGAACAAGGTACGTACATACATATTGAAGAAAGTTGAAGTTCTACCAAAAATTCAACTGGCAACCCACACATCTTATAAGTCATTGTAAGGTTTATTCTTTCACCGATGTAAGATTCTTTTACCTTCGTATCCTCACATATATCCATATCCACACATGCAATCAAGAATTCTCACAATGTGATGTGTTACATAATTATTATGTACTGGAAACTGCAGCACATCAAAGTATGCACACCAATTATTTCTTCAGTACTACTTTTACACAGAGCAATTTGTACGAAGGGATAAGAAAAGGAAAGTTAGGAATTGAATGGCATCCATCATCTAAACGTCAAGATTTTCATTTTCAGGTATGAAGACAATTGTTGAAGCGTATATGTCTCTGACTCTGACCCCACTGGTGGTAATGGAAGAAGGGCGCACTGGAGGTATATATATATACACCATGATCCTAACATATTAAGATTTTTAACCACCACGAGGTGGTACAGTGGTTGGAAACGAATTTCAGGCTCGCATTTCACACGGTATGTTTTAGGTTCGATTCCTGATACTGGTGAATCACACGATGATGATCAAGGAGAGATGCCTCTGTAGTCTTTTTGATCCACGAAATGATAGATTACTGTGGTGAAACCATTTGCTAGTCTTCTTTTAAGAAAAAACAAATTAAGATTTTTATATAATTCTATTTCATGATATAAATTTTAGGCCCAATATGGCTCAGCACTAACATTACACGTGGTGTCTTCAACTTAATCAGGCACCTATATTATTTTGGTTTTGTCCAGTAGATAGAATGTGGAAATGCAGGACTGGTACTAATTAACAGCTTTATCAATAATCCATTCTCTTTTAATTCATCTACCGTAGAATTTCCCATTTGTTTTCAAATTGTATTTAATTATTTTCATTCAATTATGGGAAAGTTAGCAATTGACAAGCATGGCAGGGCATGATAATATCCGTGAAACTTTCGTCAAATATGTGGAGTCTAATGATTGGGATAATGCGATCGAGTTTCTTAGCCAACATCGCCAGCTAGGAAGTGAAAGAATTTTTCATGACCGTACAGCTCTTCACTGCGCAGTAAATGGGTTAAGCAAGTGCAGCGTGCGCAATATGGAACAGTTGATGGAGTTAATGGCAAAGAAAGACTTGGCAATACAAGATATCTTTGGCTGTACAGCTCTTCACGACGCAGTTTGTGATTCTAGAGAGTTCAGCGTGCGCATTGTGGAAAAGTTAGTGGACTTAATGGAAAAGAAAGACCTGGCAATACAAGACTTCCGTTGCCGTACAGCTCTTCACAACGCACTCTGTGAGCCTAGCAAGTTGAGCGTGCGCATTGTGAAAAAGTTGGTGGACTTAATGGAAAAGGAAGACTTGGCAATACAAGATGATCTTGGTCGCACAGCTCTTCATTATTTAGTAAGAGAATATCCAGAAAGGGTTGAAGTAGCCAAATGCATGGTTGATAAGAACTACAATTTACCTACCATTTTTACTACAAGTATGCCTCCAGTTGTCGTGGCTGAGATGCAGGAAAAAGGAAAAAGAATGGCTCGCTATCTCTATTCCCTCACTCCACGCCAAACACTAAGAGTTCGCGATGGAGCTCAACTTATTTCTAGCGGTTTTCTTCACAAGAGATTTGGTATAATTTTATAATTTTTCTCTGTATACTTGCAATATATACTGGTCCAGTTTCAAACATGACCAATTATTAATGCCAAACTTTTCTCAGTGTGATTTTTTTTGTTACAAATTTTTTCTGTATATTTACAATGTTCTTTTTTCACACTTGTATTATATATACAGATATTGTCTGGGATTTGATTCAACGTTATCCACTGTTGACCTTGGCTAAAGACCACAATGGAGATTTCCCCTTAGTAACATTGGTAAAAAACCGTTCAGCATTCTTAAGTGGAAGCCAACTCACCTTATGGGAAAAGTTGATCTATTATGGTTAGTACAAATTACAATATTGCTTTTTATTTTCTCGTCATATTTTCGTAACTGCAATTTTTCTAAAAGGAAAAAAATTGATACAAGTTTAAGTTTGTGATTCACTGTTAGTAATAGTCCACTTCTGTAAAGTTGGTCCAATGACTCGAATTATACATCAACATATTTTTATTTTCACACCAACATACCTCTAAAATTATAAACTGTTATAAATAGTTTTGAACCGATATCCAGTTCTATTCCTATTGATGCAATATATTCACATTTTTGTTTCACATTTTATATGAATTATACGTTCACATCTGTGTTCCGTTGTTGAGAACCCTATTCCATTGCTTTTCTGACATGTATAGTATATTGTAGTTACTATATATAATTAATGAGTAATATGACAAATACGAAAGCGAGTAATACTATATTTATTATATTTTTCATATAACATTTAATTGTAACATCTTTCTAATAGAGGTTAGATATGACAATAGGACGGATTGGGTTTGGATGTGTTATCCATAACTGAACCTGTTTATGGGTAATAAAGATAAGGGTAATTCTATTGCGAATAATACTTATGTACACTTATGAGTGCACTTCCTTATTCACCAAATTGTAAATAATGATTTTTTTTTTTGTCACTGTAAACAATGATTTTCATTGTAGAATCGAAAACGTTCATATTTTTAGTCACTATCTAAAGATCATCTCTACAAAACATCAAATAAAGTAAAAATTGTTTGATCATTCATATGTATAAAATGAATCAAAGATTTGATAACAATTAACATACAAAAAAAAAAAAAAAAAAAAAAACAATTAACATACAAATTTTGCTTCAGAAGAATATTTCTTTGAGTTAATGATTGGATTTGTGTTCTTATCTTGATAGGTATACGCATAAAACCTCTTCCTCCCATTAATGAAAATGGCCTGAGTGATCAAAGGCCTCTCTCAAACCAAAAAAAGAATCAAAGGCATCTAATCTCCTCAGGTATTTTACACGTCTGCAATGCAATTTGGTTTTTGTTAATGCCATGGTAAATTGTTTTATAATGCTACTACAAAAATATATGAACATCTTAATAAAAATTCTATTTTAATCCTTGTCTAAGATTAAAAACTAATTTTAATCCTTGTCATTAAATTGTAATTTTTGAATATTAAATAGGTTGTAATAATTATTGAGTTTTTTGTTTGTAGGTTATATATTGATTCTTATAAATAATAAAAATGTTATTTATCATTGTTCATACAATAAGAACAGTCATATATTATCATATAATTTTCATTGTGCATGAATTTCTCCATATATATGTATATGCATATTACATATTTTTATTATTTATCATTGTTCATACAATAAGAACAGTCATATATTATCATATAATTTTCATTGTGCATGAATTTCTCCATATATATGTATATGCATATTACGTACATATTGATACTATAGTTACATACCGACAAATTTGTACGGAAACATTCGTACCGATACTTCTGTACCTATGAATAAAATAAGGTACCTAAAGTTATGTACTGATACATTCGTATCGAAACTTGTGTACCAATACTTCCGTACCTATGAATAAAATAAGGTACCGAAAGTTATGCCTAGATTGTTTTTGTTTTGTTGTTGAATTTTTTAATAATAATAATTTGAATTTTGAATGAATTTGTATCTATTAATATGATTGGAGCACAAAAAATATACATTAATTATGAATGGGTAAAGAATTTCAAATGGTAAGTTTATAAATAATAAGAATGTGCTATAATTACTTAAATATGGTAAGTTTTAAAAATAATGACTTATATTAGATTTTGAAAACCATTCAGGTTAAAATCTAAAAACAATCTTATTAAAGCCCTAAAATCTAAAAGCCCTTTTTTTTTTGTTGTTTTATTAATAGTCAATATTAATTTAAAATGATTGTAATTGTTTTCTTGAATGAACATAGGAATAATCAATCGTATATATGAGATGAAATTGATGCATGAGCGGGTCCATCAGTTTTTACCTCTCATATTTAAAGCCGCAACGGATGTAGTTCCATCAGTTTCTACCCCTCACATTATTGAAGGCTTGCATGAAGCATTGCGTGTTGCAGCAGAATGTGGGCATGCAGAGTATTTTGTTCATAGGTTTAATGTCGGAATGGATGAGTCCTTTAAATCAAATGATGATGTTTACTCAATTTCATTAAATGATCAAGTGAACAGGACAAACCAGAGCATGTTCCATATTGCTGCTGAATGTCGTCACCACAAACTTTATAATCTTATATATGTCATCCATGAGTTGAGCCAAGAAAAAAAAGAAGATAAAGATGGCCAAAAACGATTCCGTCAAATGCAAGGGGCAGTGGGGCGGAAAGATTACTTTGGCAATAATGTGCTACATACTGTGGCAAGTATTACCTCAGTTTCACGGATTGATCACATTCGAGGCGCAGCTTTGCAAATGCAAAGAGAACTACAATGGTTCAAGGTGACTATTTATATATATATAAATGCTTATATTTATGAAATATATATTTTTCTAGTTTTTGTGGCTATATATGCTTATATTTATGAAATATATGTTGTTTATACACATTTTTGTGGCTATAGTTTTACTCTCATTATCTCATACTCCCTCCCTTATTTTGTTATTGTGTTTATTCAAATTTCAAAGAAAAAAAAAGAATGCAGAATTTATTTCCTTTAAAAATTAAAAATAAAGGTTTGTCGACATGCACAAGCATATTAGGAATACATTAAAATTTAAAAGGAAAACATTATTATGTAACTACGTACTATACTAATATCATATATGGCTTAATTAATGATATTGGGTTATGTGGTGTCTCAAAGACCAAATGTTCAAGAATTAATATGAAGAGAGAAAGATTTCATAGTCACTTCCTTAAAATCTTTTGTCGCAAAAAAATGCAGGAGGTGGAGAGCGTTACAGATCCCAAAGATCGTGAATGTCTAAATGATGATGGTATGACACCACAAGAATTATTTAAGGAGAATCATAAAAAAATGGGGGAAGAGGCAGAAAAGTCAATGAAAGAAACAGCAACTTCGTGTACAGTTGTAGGTGCTCTCATTGTCACCATCATGTTTGCTGCAGCATTCACAGTTCCTGGTGGTAATGATGAAAAGACAAGTCTTCCTAAATTCTTAACTAAAAAAGTATTCACAGCATTTATAGTTTCGGATGCAATCTCGCTCTTTTCTTCAACAACTTCGGTTATCATGTTTTTAGGCATTCTCACGTCACGTTATTCTGAAGATGATTTCTTCAAATCTTTGCCCACGAAAATGATAATAGGCCTTTTCACCCTCTTCTTATCTATCACCACCATGATGATTGTCTTTTCTTGTGCCCTTTACATTATGCTTGACGGGAAATCGTCGATTGTTATTCCAATCATTTTGATTGCCAGTGTTCCAGTTGCCTCCTTCATCTCGATGCAATTTCCGTTGCTTGTCGACATATTTATTTTTACGTATGGACCAAGTATGTTTGGTGAGAACAACAAAACATGGTTTAAATTCCTCTGTGATCTTTATTAGTTATTTTTAAGAAGCTTGTAAAGTGAAGCCAATGTATGCGCTTTTTATTTAGCCAATTATATATGTGCTTTTTCTTTGGTTAATAATGTACGTTCTTTGATCTTAAAACAAAATTCAGTCTTCAATTTATATTTTTGGGCTTTCTTTTTTGGTGAATTTTTATTTTGAGTTAGTTACTAAGACAAGCTCTTTTGTAGCTCTTTTTTTTTTTTTTTTTTTTTTGTCGATAAAATGAATTCATTGAAGCTTAATTTGGGTTCTTCTTGGGTTTGGGGCATTTTATGATATGGGCTTTACTCTTTTTCCCATATAGATTATCAATCGACAGAGGGTTGTAACAGAAATTGTTCATAATGGGTTTCTCAAGAGCAATGTTTAAAATATCGATGATATCGAAAATATCGGTAGTTCAAAAACATGGAAATTTCGATGGAAATATCAAGATATTATCGATATCGATAAAAATTGAATAAAAACTGATAGGGATTTTACTACTCATGTGAACGGGCTAAAAACTCCTATTATACTTGCAAGAATTACAAGGTTGTTGTAGTATAAACGGATATCGCAAGGTCGTTCTTCACAGGGATTATTAAATAATTCGAAACAAACCAAATTTCAATTAATTATTGTAAAGTAGAAATTGGGATGATTGATTTTATAACCTATTTAAATTAAAAACGAATTTAACTATTAAAGATAAGACAATTTGCAATATTAAAACTAGAGGGAAAAGAAAACAGTTTTGGGAGAAATCAAATTAAGAAAGCACTAGGGTTCCACCTTCACCTAGCAATCCTATGAACTTTTACCAATTACTCATGATTTACACATGCCACTTTGAAGGTTAGATTTTTCTAATTCATATTCTACTTGGAACCTCCAACATAGAACGTATATCTAACATGCAACTCGTCCGGACGTTCAGATCAAATCTGAACATGAAAGACTCATTATGCTTTATGAAAACCCTTTGAAAAACCATGCAACCCTTAAGACGTGGTATTCATCCTAAGTGAAATTACAATTATTAATCACAAGAAGCCAGCGTCAATTTCAGGGAACCTTCCGACCAAAATTGCATCAAATTACTTTTCTAAAAATCCTAATGGTGATCAGGCATTAAGACAATTAGATAGTTTTTATCCCGGTGATTAACAATTCAAAGTATGCATGCAATCAATCATAAGCAATTAAATAAAAATCACATATTCATGCTAAGGCTCAAGGCTTCGCCCTAGCAAAAGAATTTAGTTACGCATATTCATAATTGAAATCATAGAAACTATTAGTAAGAAAATGATTGAAAGCACCTTCAAGTAGAAATTCTCCAAAACCCTAGCAGTTCTCTTTGTCTCCAAAATTGCATAAAATAAAGCGTAGAGAAATATGGTAGACGGCCAAGCAATATATCTGCTAAGCCACCACACAAACCCTAAAAATAGGTAGACGGCCAAGCAATATATCTGCTATTCCTCCTAGGAAACTAAAATTAATAATCAAATAAAATAGGAAACATTACCCTAAATTAAATGGTAAAATTCGCCTAAAATCTGAACAGCCACATTTTGGACCCATAAGCTGCTCCAAAACTGGCCTAATATAGCTGGGTTTAATGTTTAGAATATTCTAAACACTTCTCTAGAAGGCCACGAACCCATCCGAGGTCATCTTGGGCTCAAAAAACGCAATTTAAGCTCAAAAACGTCATTTTCCAACACTGCGTATCGCTCCTTTATTTTATCACCAGAAAATAACCGCTTGGTAAAAAAATCCTAAATTTTGATACGATCAAGCTAAGTTACTCATGAACGTCCTCCAACTAGAATTACTCCAAAATTCGTCCATTTGGTCATATTTTACTCCAGAGGAAGTCGAAAGTCTTATATTGAAAATACAATTCAAAGTATCAAAATTCTTCCAAAATATTAACCAAAATACACTAAGATTAGGGTCAAATATATAATATAAAATCTACTCATAAAAAACCAAGGAAATTGTAAGAAAACTTGGAAATTTTTATTGAAACTTTATCATGTTTATTTAGTCAATTATCTATTAGTTTATCACAAAAAATTGGAAGGAAATGCATTGCATGATGGATTTAACTGATTTAAGTTGATTATATAGCGAGCTAGCAAACATTGTGAGTGTAGAAAATATGTAGTAATTAATGAAAGAAGTTTAAACACACCATAATAATTTATATATAGTGAATTAGTTATCAGCAATAGTTTAGTGGTTAAACTTAGGATGCATTTGTTTCACCGGACTATCTCGGACTAGATTAAGTTCAGGAACTAAATTGGATTGGCTTGACATAGATTAACTAGTATAAGAATAATTGAACGTTTGGTACATTGTCTGACTAAATCATAGACTAAATTATTTTTGGGATCTAAATATTTTTTTGTCATTTCTTTATTTCTCTCCCGTTCTTTCTTATCCTTTCTAAATGCTTCTTGTTCCTTTCTTCTTCTTTTTTGTCAAAGCTTCTCCGTTCCTTTCTACTCATTCCTTTTCTTTTTCCTTTTCTCTCCCCCACTTTCTTATCCTTTCCAGATGCTTCTTGTTCCTTTCTTTTTTTTGGTCAAAGCTTCTCCATTTGTTTCTACTCATTTCTTTTTTTACCTTTCCTTTTCAAATTCAAGAACTGGGTACAAGTCGATGAACCCCAACGAGATAAAAGATTTACCGATCGAAGCAGACATTGGAGTTGCAGATGGTGTAGTCGAGCGCAAACGCACATATCGACGTCGGCGTCGAGCTTTGGGTGAACACCAATTTGGATTTGCTTACCCAGAAAGGCACCACCGCAGTTGAGCAGGACGAGGAGAGAAAGGAGAGAGAGTGAGTGAGAGACAGTAAATGTAACACCCCAACCCCCAAATATAATGTTTAATTTCATATTTCCCCAAATATTTATGGAAACTATCAATTCAGTCCTAATTTCCTTTACCCAATCCGGATCTACACTTAAGATTATTTTCTCTCTCAAACTGCCACGTGGCAGCACCCCAACAATCCATATTCTTCTCTTTCTGTCCCTTACCCCGTAACCCCTTCTGTATTCTTCTTTCTTTTCTGCATTCTCTATCTCTCTCTCTCGAAACTCTCATCTCTCTCTTTTCTCTCTGCACCGAGACCCACATACACACACGTACACCATCGCACCTGCTCGAGGAAGACACCCATCGTCATTAGCAACCTCATCTTTCTCCCTCTCATTCTCGTCTCTACAACTTGACGAACGCAGGAACCCTCCGGCGAGTTTCTTGAATTTCTCCGGTTAGGTTTTTGGGACGAAATCGGCTCGGAAATAGGCACACCCATCTCCGGCAAGGCCGTGGGTGTCGAGAGGTATTCCGACCACCACAGGTCGTTTCACGGTAAACAGAAGGTATAAACGCACTCCTCTCGCCTTGTGCTTTCGTTTGGTACCTAGATCGGGGTCTAGGGTGGTAGTTTGCAGTCAGCCGGAGCTGTAGAAGCTCCGACGTTCTTCTCTGTTCTTTCCTGTTGGTTCCCGATGAGCGCAGGCCTTTTAGGCCGTTTCCCATAACCCTCGGGCCTTAGGCCTGTTAGGAAGGTGGAGCGATACTATCGCGATATTATGGATACTATCGCGATATTATCGATAATATCACGATATTTTGATGATAATTAAGTGGATAAGTGTGAAAATATCGCCTTCTCACAAAAACGATATTATCGGTAAAATATCGCCGATAATATCGATATTTTAGACCTTGCTTAGGAGACTTTGAAGTTGCACAGAGTGAAAGAAAAAAAAAATGTAGTTGGACCCGTGGATCCATCCCAAACCAACCCGTTTCAAACATGTCGGATTAGGTCTGGTTTCAAAACTCAGAAATCCTATACCCGCCCTACCCCGTTGCATTTCAAAAAGGGCCAGGTTCGGTCCTTCCAAATTTGGGCACGGTTGGGCCGTAACCCCTAGGGATGAGTGACCTTGCATGAGCTTATAAGATAGTTAGGCTACTCCTTTTACTTGCTTATTTGTTAATGTACTTAACCGATATCAAGGTTTACCAAGAGTTTGCCGATATTGCCAATTGTTTTGATGATAAAACCTCAATTTTCTTTATGATATCATAGCAGGTTGGCATGTGTGTGAAGGCCAATGGCTACACGTTGTCCACACCCTCCAATTCATGTTGTCCACTTGTTTGGACTGAAAATTCGTCACACATAAGAGGCGTGTGAGGATGTGAAGGTAAAAGAGTCTCATATCGATGAAAAGAGAAATCTTACGAAGACTTATAAGAGGTTGAGCTACTTTTTATATTGCCAATTGGTTTTATGGTGTAACTCCAATTATCATAAAAAAGAAAGATGCTTCTTTTAAAAGAAGCACAAACTAAAGAGAATAGAGATAACCTTCGTTCTCCTATTTGTTGTGTTACAAGCCATGTTGATGCTGGTAAAACTCAGTTGTTGGATTGTATCTGAGGCACAAATGTTCACCATTGTTGGGATGATACAATTTCCTCCTTAACTAATATGACATCATTTTATCATACAATAATGATAATCAGAATTGTTCATTATCTTTATGATCGTTTAAAGGTTATCTATAAAAAAAAAAAATTAATTAATTTGAAAATTATTTAATCATCTATACTACTTGTCTGGCACCTAACCTCTCTCCAAAAGCTCTATCTCTCTCAACAAAACCTAGTCGGCTGCCTTCATCGTCGCCGGCCTTTGGCTATGGCTGGGGTCGGTGGCAGTTTCTCTTTTTCTCCTTCTTGAACGCATCCCTTCCTCTTTCCCATTCTTCCTCATCCCAGCCTTTTTCCTTTTTGCCATCCACGACCTTCTCTCCCCTCCCGACCTCACACCGACCACTCATTCTTGGCCTTTACTTACCTCATCTCCCCTCATGTGCTTCTTTCCCACCATTTTGTGAGCAACTTTCCATGGATTTAAGTCTTATACCCAAATTCGGGTCATGCTCTTTCAAGATTTCTTCTTTGATTTGGCATTCGATTTCTTGGTGTGGGGTTGGATTCGTGGCAGCAGATAGGTTGGATTCATCGTCGTCAACTTGTTTCCATAGTGATGTCACATCTTCGCCTGGTTCTTATGGCTGCACTGACATGTGC